TCTTATTCTGTCGCCCAGACTGGAGTGCAGTGGCCGCTCCCGGCCACCGCAGCCTCGACCTGCTGGGCTCCGACGATCCTTCCGCCTCCGCCTTCCAAGTAGCTGGAACTACAGGCGTGCACTACCACGTCTGGCTGATTTTTTTTTATTGTAGAGATGAGGTCTTGCCAAGTTGCCCAGGCAGGTCTCGAACCCGCGGGCTCAGGCAGTCCACTCACCTCAGCCTCCCAAGGCGTGGGATTACAGGCTGAGCCACTGAGCCCAGCTGAAATGGTATATATTTTTGTTACCAGCGACTTATTTAAGTCATAAATGAAAAACTATCTATTCTCACCCTTACAGGATATGTTATTTAGTAACCTTTAATTTTCCACCTTAAATATTTCTTGAAAAGCAGAAAAAATAATATATATAACTTGAAATTTGATAATATTGCTTGTAAGTTTTGATACTTTTGGCTTAAAACTACCAAGATTACCATTTCATTTATATCTTTTTTTTTTTTTTTTCTTTTTGAGTTGGAGTCTCACTGTCACTCAGGCTGGAGTGCAGTGGCTGCTCCCGGCCACCGCAGCCTCGACCTGCTGGGCTCCGGCGATCCTTCTGCCTCAGCCTTCCAAGTAGCTGGAACTACAGGCGCATGCTACCACGCCTGGCTAATTTTTTTGATTTATTGTAGAGATGAGGTCTCGCCTGCCCAGGCGGGTCTCGAACCCACGGGCTCAGGCAATCCACTCACCTCAGCCTCTCAAAGACGGGGATTACAGGCCTGAGTCACCAAGCCCAGCTTCATTTATATCTTTACATTCCAAGGTTTAGCCCTTGGAAAAAAAATAATACAACTGGAACATAAGGGAAATAAGAATGTATTTATTATAGTATATTATAAAATAAGGTTTAGAAAATATGTAGGTTAATTACTTATAGACACTGAAAATATGTGAGTGATTACAGTTCATAAGCCCTTGTAAAACTAAAGGAGTAGGTTTTAACTTTTCAAAAATATAAAGTTTCATTATTAAAAGAAATTAATAGCTGGGCTTGGTGGCTCAGCCTGTAATCTGGTGCTTTGGGAGTCTGAGGTAAGTGGATTGCCTGAGCCCGCGGGTTCGAGACCCGCCTGGGCAACTTGGTGAGACCTCATCTCTATAATAAATAAAAAAAAAAATTAGCTGGGTATGGTAGCGCATACCTGTAGTTCCAGCTACTTGGAAGGCTAAGGCAGAAGGATCACCGGAGCCTAGCAGGTCGAGGCTGCAACTCAAAAAAAAAAAAAAAGAAGAAATGAACATGTAACGAGAGGCAACTTATTTCCTAATTCTTACCTAACAAGGTATTTCAGTAACCAAATTCTGTGATTTGTGCATATGGTAGGATTTTAGGAATCAGGGAATTTTGACTAAAACTGATAATTATGAATTATAGTTTTATTCAGATGTTTCTGTGAAATAGTTCAGTATAATTAAAGCTTTTGTTGTGGAAAATTGACTCTAGAAGTTTAACATGAAAATTGACTCTACCTTTGATTATGTTTAAGAAGAATCTGTTTAAGAAACATTGCAAAAGAATTTACTGTAGCCCAGCTCGGTGGCTCAGCCTGTAGTCCTGTGCCTTTGGGAGGCTGAGGTGAGTGGATTGCCTGAGCCCGCGGGTTCGAGACCCGCCTGGGCAGGCGAGACCTCATCTCTACAATAAATCAAAAAATTAGCCGGGCATGGTAGCACGCGCCTGTTATTCCGGCTACTTGAAAGGCTGAGGCAGAAGGATCACCAGAGCCCAGCAGGTAGAGGCTGCGGTGGCCGGGAGCAGCCACTGCACTCCAGTCTGGCAACAGAGTGAGACTCCAACTCAAAAAAAAAAAAAAGATTTTACTGTTTGAAAGAGTTACGAATTTTATTTGCTCTTCATTTTTTTTTTTTTATAATTACATTTTTAAAAACATTGGATAAGTTCTTTTTGAACTCAGATTTCTATTTTTGGAATATTTTGTCCCATATGCTTTCAGCCCTGCTTCATGAGTTATTCATATTTCGAGGCAGCCTTTTGAGCATTCACTTAAATATCACTTTAATTGACAAAATGACCTGTTGTTTAGGGAGTATATGGGCTTAGATCTAAATGAAGCTTTCTGCTGAAAATAAAGTGGAGGAGAAATGCCAAGGGAGAGGGAGCAGATAGGATTATGATTTGTATGCTGACTTTTCTGACTTTATGTAAAAACCTTTTTTTACTCCACATTTTAAAATAAACACTGTTAAGACTCCACATTTTAAAAAACCTTATAATTAAGTTTTTCCAAGTAACTATTTAAGATTTAAAATGGTAAAATGTATGTTATGAATGTTAAGCATTTACTTTTAAATTTGAACCTCTAGTTTGTTTTTCCAATCTGGGTTTTGAAAAAATACATATACTGAAAAAGATCTTGTAATTCACTCTGCTAGTGTCCGTGGTAGTAATACCAGTTCTTGTTTAATTGATTTTTCTTTAGGAATTTTGTTTATTTATTTGTTTCCCATAAATATTTTGAGGACTTTTAATATTTAAAATACGAGAAATACTTGAATGTCTCTGTGTTGCTCTTGGGAGGGGAAGATAATGGGCATGTGCCTTTATTTTTTCTTCCATTTAGTTCTCTTAGTCCTTTGGAATTTGCAGCAAGCAGTACGTGTATCATGATGTAAAAAGAAAAATGGGCTTGTACAAGTAGATCAAATTTCTTTTTCTGCAGAATCTCTCTTTGGATAGAGTTGTTTGAGAATTTTGTTTGTTTCTAATAGCTAGTTGAAAATCGTTCAGGTTGCTCACTTCGTAAAAATCTGCCCATTCCTAGTTTAGAAGAAGAATGTGAATCTTCTCTCTGCACGTCTGCGTTACGAGCCAGGAATGTAGAGCTGTCCCAGGACATGAAAAAGTTGACGGCAGTGTTTGAGAAGCTGCAGACTTACGTGGCTCTGCTTGCCTTGCCAAGTGAGTGTGTTTGTTGCTCGTAGTTCAACTTGAAAGACTTAAGAGTACAAGAAGCAGAAAAAGGAGACGGCTTAACTTAGCAGAGTGAAAGGAACACAGGATCTGGAGTCAGAAAAACTTGAATTCAAATCCCCCAGCCTCTTATACATTTATGACCTTGGACTTTAAAGTACTTTGCCTCTCTGCACTTCTGTTTCCCCACTTATAAAATGGAGTTAAATGTTATTAGTAAGTTAAATTAAGAACATAAAATATCAGACATTGAACATGTATTAAATATTCACTCTCTTTCTCTCCTACCTCTTTTTTATATGCAGAGGGACAAATCATAAGAATTAATAGCAACTTTCCAACAGGTAGCATAGGAGAGCTTTATTAGTAAAAATGCCTTTTTTTTGGCCTAACTTGAAAATAATATGTTCAGGTAACTGAATGAACCTCAGTTTAAGTGATATTTTTAAGATTCCATGAATTTTCTGGTACTGTGATTTTTGTGTTTGTTTTTTTAAAACAACTGTATTGTGATATAATTTGCATACCATACAATTTATCAATTCAAATTGTATTCTTCTGGAATTTTTAGTATATTCATAAGTATGTGCTTCATCACTACAGAACATTTTAGAACATTTTTATCGCCTTACAAAGAAACCCTGTATACTTTAACTGTCATCCCCTGCTCCCCTGTTCCTCCTCTCCCTAGCTCTTAAGCAAGTGCTCATCTACTTTCTATCTATATATTTACCTATTCTGCACATTTCATATAAATGGAATCATGTAATATGTGATCTTTTCTGACTGCTTTCTTTCACTTACCCTAATGTCTTTAAGATTCGCATAAGTTGTACATATATCAGTACTTCATTCCTTTTTATTGCAGAATACTACTCCATTTTATGCATGTACCACATTTTATTTGTTCTTTTGTCAGGTAATGGACATTTGGATTGTTTCTACCCTTTGGCTATGATGAATAATGGTGTTACAGACGTCTATTCATGTACAAGTTTTTGTGTGGACGTATCTTTTCATTTCTTTTGGGTATAAACTAGGAATGGCATTGCTGAGTCATGTGGTAACTCTCTGTGCTTCACAGTTTGAGGATATGTAATACTGTTTTCCAAGTATTGTACCATTTTACATTCCAGCAATGTATAGGAGTTCCAATTTCTCCACATCTTCTTCAACACTACTATTATTTGTCTTTTTTATTTTGGCCATTCTAGGTAGCATTAAGTGCTTTTGACTTGCAATTCCCTGATGGCTTGTGATTTGAACATCTCTTTATGTGTTTATTGGCCATATGTATATTTTCTCTGGAGACATGTTCGTTAAGATCCTTTTTCCACTTTTCAGTTAGGCTGTCTTTTTATTATTGAGCTCTAAGTGTTTTTTATGTATTATAGATACATGTCCCTTATTAGATGAATGGTTTACAATATTTTTTCCATTTTGTGAGTTGTCTTTGTACTTTCTTGATAGTGTCCTTTAAAACACAAAGTGTTAGCCGGGCTTGGTGGCTCAGCCTGTAATCCCGTGCCTTTGGGAGGCTGAGGTGAGTGGATTGCCTGAGCCCGCGGGTTCGAGACCCGCCTGGGCAACTTGGCAAGACCTCATCTCTACAATAAATCAAAAAATCAGCTGGGCGTGGTAGCACATGCCTGTAATTCCGGCTACTTGGAAGGCTGAGGCAGAAGGATCACTGGAGCCCAGCAGGTCAAGGCTGTGGTGGCCGGGAGCGGCCACTGCACTCCAGTCTGGGCGACAGAGTGAGACTCCAACTCAAAAAAAAACAAAATGTTGAATTTTAATGTAGTCTGGTTTTCTATTTTTTCTTATGTTGTTTAGTCATATCTAAGACTTCATTTTGAAATCTGAGGTTATGAAGACTTACTTCTATATTTTCTTCCAAGAGTTTTATAGTTTTAACTATTGCATTTAGGTCTATGATCCATTTTGAGTTAATTTCTATATATGGTGCAAGGTAAGGATGTAATTTTATCTTTTGTATGTTGTCCCATCACCATTTATTGAAAAGTCTTTTTTTTCCTTATTGAATGGTCTTGACACCTTTATCGAGAATCATTTGAACATAGATGTATAAATTTATTTCTGGATTTTCAGTTCTATTTTGTTGACCTATATGTCTGTTCTGCACCATACCACACTGTCTTGATGACTGTCACATTGTAGTACATTTTGAGATTAGGAAATGTAAGTTTCTCTACTTCATTCATTTTCAAGAGTGTTTTAGTTATCAGAGGCCCTTTGAAACTTCATCTAAATTTTGAAATCAGTGTGTTGCGTTCTACAAAGACGTGAGCTAAGGAATTGCATTGGATCTGTAGATCATTTTGGGGAGTGTTGTGATTGAATTGTGTTCCCCAAAATAATATGTGACGTTCTAACCTCCAGTACATGTGTGGGTGATCTTATTTGGAAATAAGGCCTCTGTAGGTATAATCAAGTTAAGAAGCAGACATACTGGATTAAGGAGAACCCTAAATTCAATGACTGGCATCCTCATAAGGGGAGGGAGATTTGGAGACAGATGGAGATACAAGAGAGAAGGCCATATGAAGATGGAGGCCGGAATTGGAATTATGCCATCATAGTCAAGGAATACCTGGGGGAGCGGGCAATAGAAGCTAGAAGAGCAAGAAAGAATTCTCCTCTAGAGTCTTCGGAGGGAATGTGGGCTTGCTGGCACCTTACTTTGGCCTACAGAGCTGTGAAAGAATAAATTTCTGTTGTTTTAAACCACCTTGTTTGTGGTACTTTATTTCAGCAGTCCTAGGAAACTAATACAAGAAATAGTGCCATCTTAACAACATTAAGTCTTCTAATTCATTAACGTGGTATGTTTTTCCTTTTATGTAGCTCTTCCTGTAATTTCTTTAAACACGATTTTCTAGTTTTCAGAGCATAAATTTTGCACCATGATGTTGCTTCTGAGTGGATTCAGCTTTGGGCATGAATATAGTCACTCTGGGATGACAGTGGTGTTGGCTGGGCTCTCCTTCACTGTCTTCCCTAATCACCCTAGGTTTAAGTTTCACTAATTGCTGGCTGATTACTGTCATGTTTTCAAAGTGCCTTGGGTCATAAATTGTCCACAGGCTGAATCAATTAAATCTGGGCTCCTTTATAGGTCTAGTTATAGACCTCGAATCTAACTAGCAGGTCTAGCTTTTGAGGTCAGTGTTTGAGATTTGTTCTGACCCCAGGGGGTCTCTTAACTGTTTCAGTGTCTGGTTCTCTCTGGTAAACGAGTCAGCCCACAGTTTATACTCTAAGTTCTACCAACTTATTCTTTACTGTTTTCTCCACAGCTCTGCTCTTTGAAGGGCATCCTTAGAGTTGAACTTCTCCAGTTCTTCAACAGTTGAACTGTGTTGCAAATTAACTCAGTTTCTTTGAGAAGAGTTTCAGAGCTCTTGTTTGCAGAGGCTTGTGTATACCCTGGGCTAAATCTTTGGGGACTGGGGGTAGTACCACACTTCTCTCTGAGTGGTACCCTCTTATTAGGAACTGAGTGCTTGGTGGAGGTGGTAGGGCAGTAGCCCAGGTGTCCTGTATTTGCCTTTTTCAATGTGAAACTCCTGTTGGTGAGCTGAGGCAAGAGTGATCAGGGCCCCATTTTCTCAGCTGCACCATGCCCAACGTAGAACCTCCATCCTAGGAGTGGGGACCAGGTGAAAGACAGGAACCCTCCCTACTTCTCTACCCAGAATTTAGCCTCAGCATCATGTAACTGGGGGCAAGATGATATATCCAGCCCTCTCTGGGAGTTGAGAGAGAAGGAGTCCTGTGTTCTTGGCTGTACCTGTTGGGAGTGAGGTTTAATCTTCCTGGAGTGGTCAGGGGAGTGAATCCTGGTTTAAATACCATAGACTAGTTATATAGTAACAAGGTAAAAATTCACAAAGACTTTCATTTTTAAAAGAATCATGGAAGAGCTCACACCTATAATTCTCCTGCTTTGGGTTGCCAAGGCAGTAGGATTGCTTGAGCCCAGGAGTTCGATATCAGCTTGCACAACACAGCAAGACCTCATCTTTACAAAAAGTCAAAAAATTAGCTGGGCATGGTGCTGCATGCCTATAGTCTCAGATACTTGGGAGACTGAGGTGGGAATATCACCTAAGCCCAGGAGGTCAAGGCTGAGGTGAGCCAGGATCATGCCACTGCACTCTAACCTGGGTGACAGAGTAAGACTCCAACTATAAATAAATAAAATAAATTTAATAAATAAATAAATATCATGAAGGACTTAATCCTGCTTAGCAATCTAATTTTGATTCTCAGCCATTAAAAATACTTGTAGATATGAGAGGTGCAAATCAGGCAAACCGGTTAGATGTGTAGTCTTATCACCCTTATCTCTGTAAAGATTTTAAGTACCATTACCTTTTTTTTTTTTTTTTTTTTTTTGAGATGGAGTCTCACTCTGTCGCCCAGACTGGAGTGCAGTAGCCGCTCCCGGCCACTGCAGCCTCAACCTGCTAGGCTCCGGTGATCCTTCTGCCTCAGCCTTCCAAGTAGCTGGAACTACAGGTGCGTGCTACCACGCCCGGCTAATTTTTTTTTAAATTTATTGTAGAGGTGAGGTCTTGCCAAGTTGCCCAGGCGGGTCTCGAACCCGAGGGCTCAGGCAATCCACTCACCTCAGCCTCCCAAAGGCGCGGGATTACAGGCTGAGCCACTGAGCCCGGTTTACTTTTTTTTTTTTTTTAAGACAGAGTCTTGGTCTGTTACCCAGGCTGGGGCACAGTGGCATGATCATGGCTCACTGCAACCTTGAATTCCTGGGTTCTAGAGATCCTCCCACCTCAGTCTCCTGAGCAACTGGGACAACAGGCATGCATCTCTATACCCAGATACTTTAAAAAACATTTTTGTAGAGACAGGGATCTCAGTATGTTGCCTAGGTGAGTCTTAAACTCCTGGTTTCAAGCAATCCTCCTGCCTTGGTCTTCCAAAGTATTGGGATTACAGGCGTGTGCCACTGTACCTGGTCATTATTTCTAACATAGTACAAGCAGTCTTCATTCTCTATCTTCCCAAAAGTAAAGGGAGAGGGTGGGTGGTCCACTTTTCAGGAAAATGCTTAGCTTTGTGATTTTGATTTCCTAGGTACAGAGCCAGATGGACTCCTCCGAACAAACTATAGTTCTGTCTTAACAATTGTTGGTGCCGCTCTACATGGGTTTCATGATGTTATGAAAGGTAAGCCTTGAAAAAGAACATAAGTAAGCTTAAAACCTTCATTCCACTTTCTCAGGTCTGCCTGGATGAGGTTTAAACAAATACAGCCAAGGGTAATAGACCCCAGATAAAGGCTTAGTAGCATTTGGCTTAGTTCAACTGCATAGCTCACTGCCTTCTGCTTTTCCCATCTGCTTCATTTCTGAAGGTAAACAAAGTGCTGAAGAGAAATCCTTGTGCACAGTACTTTAGCCAAAAATGCATTACACTGACTTCAGGCAGGTGTATGACTTTTACCAAACCAGACATGCTATTCAGAGGCATTTAGCAAAATACTTGTACTTGCTAGAGCCCAAGCATGAAGGAATTGAGGAAACCTAGTCTGAGTCTGAGTCTGTGTGATTCTGAGTGCTGTCTAGTCCAATGCTTTGTATTGCTTTAAGGTTTTTTCCCCTTTCTTTTCCATTTAGGGACTATTGGGGTAGGGGATGGAGAGGGCAGGAGCAATTGTAATGGAGTGTTGGAGATAGCCCAGGTGCCTAGGTGACTCACTGTGGTGTAAAGTCAGCAATTAGTGACCAATTTTACAGAAAATAGTTTTTAAAAACTTAGAACTGTGTTGTGTAACATGAGAAGAGGGGTACATTGGGGCACTGGGATTCATTCTTGGTCTCAGCAGTGTTATTAAGCACCACTTTACCATCCAGTCTGGAGTATGAGCCTTCCTGTGACTTGTCTTAATTACAAGGCACTTTTAAAGTCACTGTACTTCTAGAGCTAGCCCTGGCTTCAGAAATCACGTCTTGGATAGCCAGTCTGAGTGGCAGTTAACAGTATTCAATTCCAGGACAAGTGTGGTAATTCATACTTATAATCCCAGCACTTTGGAATGGGCAGATTGCTTGTCCAGGAGTTCAAGATCAGCCTGGGTAACATAGCCAAAACTTTGTCTGTAGAAAAAAATTAGCCAGGTTTGGGCACATGCACCTGTAGTTACAGCTGTTCAGGATACTGAGGTGGAAGGATTGCTGGAGCCTAGCAGGTTGAGGCTGCCATGAGCTGTGATCACCGTGATCATGCCACTGCACTTCAGCCTGAGCAACTGAATAAGACCTTGACTCAATAAACAAACAAACAAACAAATAAATATTCAACCCCAGTCCTGAAAAACCTAGTCTGGTCTGTAGGAAACCCAAGAGATGGCACTTTTTTCTGTACAGCTTTTGATTTGAGGAGCTGAGACTTAGTTGTTATACTCAATTCCAGAACTTTACTTAATCTAGAACCAGGTCATTGAAACCACAAATACCTTTGTGGCTACTAGTTTTTAAATTTTGTTTAAAAAATGTTCTTATGATGATACAGGTTGAGTGTCCTTAATTTGTAAATCTGAAATCCAAAATGCTTCAAAATCTAAAACTTTTTGAGTGCCAACATGACATCACAGTGCAAAATTCCACACCTGACCTCTTGTGACATGATGGACCACAGTCAAAACTTTGACTCATGCAGAAAATTATTTAAAGTAGTGTTCAAAATTACCTTCAGGTTATATGTGGAAGCTATAGGAAACATAAATTAATTTCACGTTTAGACTTGGGTCACGTCCCTCAAATATTATATATGTACAACTATTCCAAAATCTGAAAAAAAGTGAAATTCAATACACTTCTGGTCTCAAACATTGTGGATAAGGCATTCTCAGTCTATTGATTGGTAGGTGGGTCTCAGTGTAAAAAGAAGGATTTATAAAAGTATGTATCCTTTTTTCAAAAAAATGCAAGGGATTTTTAAAAATGTGCATCTTGGCCGGACTCGGCGGCTCAGCTTGTAATCTCAGCACTTTGGGAGGCTGAAGCAAATGGATTTCCTGAGCCCGCGGGTTCGAGACCAGCCCGGGCAACTTGGAGAGACCTTGTCTCTACAATAAAAATAAATTAGCCGGGCGTGGTAGCATGCATCTGAGTTTCAGCTACTTGGAAGGCTGAGGCGGAAGGATCACCAGAGCCCAAAAGGTTGATGCTGGGGTGGCTGTGAGCATGCCACTGCACTCCAACCTGGGTGACAGAGTGAGACTTCAACTCAAAAAAAAAAAAAGTGTAGCTTACATGGAACTAAAATGAGAGTGAATTAATCTTTTAACAAATGGCATTCTGTTTTGTGAAAGGGCCATATATGTAAAGTGACCCCCAAATGAAGGAGCTGAAAAACCAAAGAAGGAGGCAGACAAATCCGGTTTGTTAGTATGGGATAATTTATTGAGTGATCTTACAAACAGAAGGATGGTCTTGGGCAGCCGCAAGACAGGTAGATCTTTGTACGGAAGTCCCCAACCCAGAGCTTATATCTTGTGGAAAAGTATATGTGCTCTGGAAGGAATGTGTAGACGGTTATAGGAATCACAGCCTGTGATTTTTGTAACAGTATCAAGGATTGTTTTGGAGGAAACTCATAGTTTTATAGAAGCGTAATGCATCAACTAGACATTTTGGAGGCATTCCTGGACTCGGGGTTAGTCAGAAGTTACATGGTGGGTTAGCATTTAAAATAAAGTCACTCTGGTCCCCCCGCCCCACCCCTCTAATATGGCTCTTATAACATAATACACCCACCTCTTCTGTGACGGTCTCTGAGCCTTTAGAGGGAAGTGTCTAGTCATTTTGATGGCCTGGATGACATATTGTATTAATTTGTTTTTTAGTTGTCACTGAAGTAACAATAGACACAACAACAGGCAATGACTCAGGAACACCACAGAAAAGGGTCCACTGACCACAGTAGTTATAAAAAGTCCCACCAGACACGTTTCTACCAGAGCTGATAAAAGACCAATCACAAATACTTAAGACTCCTGAAGACCTTGAGCCAGAAGAGGGGACACATGAATGGGAGTTAGACTGACAACTTCCCCAGGGTAGAGAAGGTGTTTCTTGCCAGAGAGCAAAAAAGTTCCTGGTCAGCTAAAGTGGCCTTCACTGCTCCTGTTGGAGTCCAGGCCAAAATGTTCCACATGTCACTACATAGACTCCTTTAAAGGGCACTTTGGTTGACCATTTGACTTGGTCTTTTGCTGCCCCATAACCTTAAAAATAACGCTGACACTTTTGCTTTTGGGATAATATGTTTGTATATACCTGTATACAAATATGTATACAACTCATGTATACACCAGGTATATACCTCAGCCCATCATCCTTGGGGCTGCCTATGTCCTAACTAACAATAATAGAGCAACCATAGTCATTTTGCTTCATTAAAAAATAACTGCCCTGCCAAGTACCTACTAAATACTTGTATTTCCACCCATGACCTATTCCTGTTACTGCTCTACCCTACAAAAATAAAAATAAACCTCTTCCTACAGTGGGCCTCTCTACCTTTTCTTTCTTTCACAATGGCTTTCTGCTTGATTTAGTTCTGGGGGCTCATGGTGACAAAAGCTATTATTCTTGGTCTCCTACTTGTCATAGTTATCACTTCTTATAATTTATATTGCTGTTGCGACCTTTTCTTACAAGTAAAAAATAAATTCATATAACACCTAACACCAGACATCCTTCTCTAAAGGCTCAGGGGCCAATGCAAAAGGGGTGGGTGCATAAGATTATAAGAGCCAGAGAAGAGGAGTGGAGTATGGGGACCAGAGTGACTTTATTTTATTTTATTTTTTTAAGTAACAAAACCAAGATGATGTTCTTTATTATCATGAGTGTTTAATATTGTTCTAAATGTATTAGATAATACAATTAGAGATAGAAAATATAATTGGCATAAAATAGAGTGAAGTTGGTAAATTGTCATTAATTGTAGGTGATTTTTTTAATCCTAGAAACTCTAAAAAGTTCAAATGATAAGTATTTAAAATTGGTAAAGGAAGTCAATGAGTATCAGAATAATATACAGAAACAACAGTATTATTTAAGTGCAGAGTGACTTTATTTTAAACACCAGTCTGCCTTGTAGCTTCTGACTAATTCTGAATTTGGGAATACCTCCAAAATATCTGACTGATGTACTAATCTTTATATAAAGACACCTAAGAAGTTTCCTCAATACAGCCCTTGATGCTGTTATAGAAATCACAGGCTGTGACACCTGTAGCCATCTACAGAATCCTTCTAGAGAACATACATGTCTCCCCCAAGATATAAGCCCTGGACCTGGAGGGTTTCTGTACGAGGATTTGCCTGTTTTGGGGCTGCTCAGGACCACACTTCTGTGTGTAAGTTCCCTCAATAAATTCGCCCATATCAACAACCTGGATTTGTCTGCCGCCTCCTTTGGTTTCTTGGCTTCTTCAGCATTTGGGGATCACTTTGCATATCCCTATCGCAGAACTTATTCTAAGTGAGAATTGTCAGATTTTTAGTCTCAGAGAGGTGTAAAGCCAGTAAACTGATAGGAAACATGAAGGAAAAAAAGTATATGGTCTAGGTCATATGATTCCTCTGTACTTTTTGGAGTCGAAATGTAATGTTGACTGGGCGCAGTGGCTCACGCCTGTAATCCCAGCACTTTGAGAAACTGAGATGAGAGGATTGCCCTGAGCCCAGGGATTTGAGACCAGTCTGGACAACTTGGTGAGACCTCGTTTTTACAATAAATTAAGAAAAATTAGCTAGGCATGGTGGTACATGCCTGTAGTTCTAGCTACTTGAAAGACTGAGGCTGAAGTGGAAGGATCGCCTGAGCCCAGCAGGTTGTGGCTGCAGTGGCTGTGAGCATGCCACTGCACTCCAGCCTAGATGACAGAGTGAAACTATGACTCAAAAAAAAAAAATTTAATGTCAAAGAACATCCTAATTGATTAAAATATTTGACTAATCAAGAGTAAAAAATTCTATTGGGAGAATAATTGTAATCAAATTATAATAGCATTGTTCTTAGTATTACACTTTTTTCTTTCTTTCTTTTTTTTTTCTTTTTGAGTCAGTGTTTCAGTATGTTGCCCAGACTGGAATGCGGTGGCATGATTGTGGCTCACCGCAGCTTTAACTTCCTGGGCTTGGGTGATCCTTCTGCCTTAGCCTCTTGAGTAGTTGGGACCACAGATGTGAGCCACCATACCTGGCTAATTTAAAAAATTTTTTGTAGTGACATGGTCTCACTATGTTGTCCATGATGGTCTCAAGCCCCTGGGCTCAAGCAATTATTCCATCTTGACCCTCACCCCCAGATGTTGGGATTATAAATGTGAGCCAATAATCCAAGATTGCCTACCAACCAAGTTGTATTATTATAACATTGTATACTTCCAGTACAAGATTGAATAAAACTGTCTGTGGTGTGTAGAAAAAATAACATGCTTTAAGGACTAGCAAGTTCAGTATACAAAAAGCATTCAGCATTCTAAATGAGTTGTTATACACTTGGATATCTTATAAATATAGGGAGGATAATCATATATTTTCAAAAATATATTAAACATAATAGTAATATACCAATTGACTGGTATCTTTGCTGTGACAGCTGTGTCATAGTAATATAAGATGTTAACAATAGGGAAAGCTAGCTGAGGGCTGTAAAGAAACTCTGACTTTTCTGTAAATCAAAAACTATTCTAAGTTAAAGATATATTTACACAAGAATATAGAAGCATATAAATATATACATTAAATAATTAATTAAATAGTTCCTTAGTTTAAAATTTGGTGAAAATAATCTCATGCATGGGAACATAGTAATTTTGAGTTAAAATATCATGATCATATCAGGTTAAATCTCAAATACTGTTTCCTTCCAAATAGTCTTATTTCCCCCTTTTAATTATCTGTAGTCTAAAATCAACTAAATTTTTTCCTTCTGAATAATGAAATTCTCTGTATATAATCTGCTATAAAAGTTAATTTTCGTGTTTTATGATTTATTTTTAGCTTTGTTGGTAATGCTAATTAGTACTCTTTAACTGAAATATTTTTTAAGAAAATCAAAGGAGGCTGTATTATAAATGCTTTATTATTTAAAGGTGTACCTACTCTTTCTTGAAAATATGCATTGTTTTAATAATTCTCCAGTTTTCCCTTATTTCCAGGACAAAATAATTATTTATCTTAGAGACTCAGAACATCCAAAGCTTGGCGTCTGGCCAGTCTCACTACTGCAATTTCTCTGAACCCTTTTGTATTTAAGCCTTTTCTGTCCTTTCCTATCATAGGCCTTTATTGTAAAGTTCTTGGACTAGAGGTAGTAGTACAGGAAGCCAGACCCTGAGTATTCAATCCTTATTTGGCTGTGGAGATGTTTCTTATCACTAGTTACAGTGTGTACTAAGCAAACCAGCTAAGGTCCGATTAGTATGGTGAGACATCTTGTCTATATTAGCTGTTCTGTTCCAGCTTCATGGGTTGCTTACATAGGTACAAGATAATTTCTTGTTAGTGACTGCTAGCATTAATATTAGTGGGCTAATATTTTAAAAAGTGGGGTTTTAACTGATAAATACTGGTCAGGGTCATTTACCCAATGTTAGAATAAGAGCTAATAATACTCAGATGAGGAAGATTCCAGCTACAAGCTGGTGACTGTATTTAAGACAGCCAAGGTGGTGTGAAACACCCTCACTTCTCTTTCTTCTTTCTGTGCAGGTTTGTGACCTAATTGACATTTAGCACAACCCTGACACTTGAGATCATTCTTTGTCAAATTTACTTCATAAATTTGTAAAAGTGGATATGCGAGATGAACGGGTTGGTTATCTGTGACTTGTATATAGGTAATAATGAGTTTTCATGTGATTGCTTTTGTAGATATTTCCAAACATTATAATCAAAAAGCTACAATAGAGCATGAACTTCCAACAGCAACACAAAAGCTAATAACAACTAATGACTGTATCCTGTCATCAGTAGTGGCATTAACAAATGGAGCAGGAAAGGTAATTATTCTCATGCTTATAGTGATGTTAAATTCAATTCTTAAATATGCTCTTTCTTCTAGTTACATAGGAAAATGGAACTGTTATAAGGACTAAAGGATTTTGGAATATAAGACTTTTTGTAAAATAAGGTTGTTTCCCTTTTCCTGCCTCCCTACCCAATATTTAGTCTGCTCCCCCACTTTTTTTTAAAGAGAGTGGGGCCTCTTGCTATGTTGCCAATACTAGCCTCAAATTCCTGGGCTCAAGGGATCCTCCCACCTTAGCCTCCCAAGTAGCTGGGACTACAGGCATGCACTTCTGTGCCCAGCTTCCTTACCCAATATTTAAAACAATAGGATAGTGACTGTTCAGCATTTATGTTGAGTGAGTGGATCACTCACTGTTTATATTTTAAAGCAGTATTGAATGCAGTGAAGATTCTAGATGGTTTCAATATAGATCTTTATGTATATCAAGACTCTGTTATATAGAACATCAGGAACATACAGAAAAAGAAAACAAACTCCAACATAACCTCATTTTTTTCCCTCCTAGTTTTTTGTTTGTTTTTGGTAACCCTTGGGATAATGCTACCACTGTGACTGTGTATCTTTTATTTTTTTTATTTTTTGAGTTGGATTCTCTATTACCCAGACTGGAATGCAGTGGCACACTCACAGCCACCCCAGTGTAGACCTACTGGGCTCTGGCGATTCTTCTGCCTCAGTCTTCCAAGTAGCTGGAAGTACAGGCGTGCACTACCATGCCCGGCTAATTTTTTATTTTATTGTAGAGACGAGGTCTTGCCAAGTTGCCTAGGCTGGTCTCAAACTGCGGGCTCAGGCAATCTACTTGCCTCAACCTCCCAAAGTGCTGAGATTACAGGCTATGCCACCAAACCTGGCCAGCTTTGTATCTTAACGAGTACTTTTAAGGGACTTCAACATGTGTCTTCATTCAACCCTTAATAGTAGGCAATGATGATTTGGATCATTGAGTGTTTAATTTTTACTGACTAAATTGCAATTTATTTAAAATCCCTTGAGCATGGACATTCTCAAAATGGTTTCAGCAAAAGTCATCTTCTCAGAGTGTTCATGTGGCTATCATCAACACCTTTAATGATTAAGATTTCTCCAATGGCTCAGCCTGTAATCCTGGCACTTTGGAGGCCAAAGCGAAAGGGTTCCCTGAGCCTGGGGGATTCAAGACCAGCCTGGGCAACCGGTGAGACTTCGTGTCTACAGTAAATCATAAAAACTAGCTGAGTGTGGTGGCGTGCATCTGTAGTTCCAGCTACTTGTAAGGCTGAGGTGGAAGGATCACCTGAGTCCAGCAGGTTAAGGCTGCGGTGGCCGTAAGCATGTCACTGCACTCCAACCTGAGTGACAAGAATGAGACTCCGACTCAAAAAAAGAAAAAAGATTTCTCTGAGAACTCCCCATATGTATACAATCAAAAAACTGTATTCTGAACTATCTTAGCTCATTTATTTAAGCAGACTCAACATGATTTCTCAAGGAAATGCTAACCTCTGCATCTGTAGTTATACCATTCTTCTGATGAGTTGGTCATAATAGGAACACATTTTCTTCTGGTGGTTTTAAATCATTAGACATGGTTGCAGCTCATGTTTGGCTTCAGTGTCATCATTTCCAAATTTGGACTGATCTTTGTGACTGCTTGCTATAGCTTGGGGACATAATTAAATCATTTTATCTTTAAGTTCTGTTAGCTCACAGATCTATGTGCACAGGATTCCTGAGCCAGAGGGCCATCCGCACTTTCTTCTCTCTTACCTCCTTCATCTGTGGCATACTGGAAGCTCTCTGAGGATAATCCTAGCTTTGATTCAATTTTTAACAATTCTAGAAAAAGAGAATGTTGATATTTCATAGGAGTCTCTGCATTTGCCATCTTTTATGAGAACTCTGAAGTATTAAATACTTGCATATTTTATGGCCTATTTTAGCTTTGCTTTGCCTGGAACCTTTTAAAAATGTTTCTGATCTTCACTCTGGAATTTTTATAAATAGTTTTCAATTAAAATAAGTATTTGAACTGGTCAGGTGCGGTGGCTCAAGCCTATAATCCCAGCACTTTGGGAGGCTGAGGGGGGCATAGTCTGAGCTCAGGGGTTTGAGACCAACCTGGGCAACTTGGTGAGACCTCTTTTCTACAATAACAAAAAATAATTCTGGCGTGGTAGCATGCACCTGTAGTTACAGCTACTTGGAAGGCTGAGGTGGAAGGATCGCCTGAGCCCAGCAGGTCGAGGCTGCAGTGGCCGTGAGCATACCACTGCACTCCAGCCTGGGTGATAGAGTGAGACTCCGACTCAAAAAAAAAAAAAAAAAAAGTTTTTGAACTAATTCCAGTTGATTTTAGCTTAATACTTAGCTAATGTGAGATGTAAAACTAAATCTTGCAATTTCCTACACCCAGTAGGAAAGTATAGCATAAACATATTATAGAAAATTTGGAAAATATAGAAATATTAGAAAGAGGAAAGAAAGTAAACCTCACCATATATTTTAAATGCAAACACTGAGCATACCCATGTTGTTCACAGTGGCTTTATAGCTCAAGATTTTTGGAATCTTCACCTTATTAAATACTACCCAACATAGAATTTCATTTGACATAGTAAAACATTAATGAAAAATATAACCTTTCTGACCATTAGTGATTAATTGCTTAAATTTTAAGCAACTTTTGCCAACATAGAATATCATTTCACAAGTCACTTTTTAGAATTTATCAAATATTCTGTAATGTATTCAAGACTATACTTTTTCTGGCCAAGACATTTAGTCAGGCATTTTTATTTATATCACCATTTTAGATAGCACTGTAGACTCAAAATAATGGCTCAGCAAAATTACAGTCGTGGGTCTTTATGACTGCTAACATAGATTTAACAAATGTTAAATCTGTGACTGACAGTTTACTGAATTTTCAGTCTTTTAAAAATTATATTTGTAATTCATAAATTGATATTTACAGAATTAAATGTAAGTCACAATTACATATTCAAGATACTGTGTTATGCCTTCTGTTAGAATATGAAATATTCCAAGTTAAAATACAAATGGAATGTAGAAACCCAAACATGGATATTTTGAGAGCAATGGCAGAAATTAATGAGGTAAATAGCTCATGAAAGTCACCTACAGAATAAATCAGAACCAGCCTATGTTTTCAGGAAGAATAGAAATTGCCTAGAGTAGGATATGTCAGAAACCTCTTCTCATTGTTTATCCCAATATCCTATTTCCATTATAAATCATTGCCTAGGTATTCTCCTCAAATGAATAAATGTGGGCTTTTAAGTAGGTGTTGAAATTTTGTTTCCATTCACAGCAGCTTGCTCTGAACACAAGCAGATATATATTGTAGGTATATTATTGGAAAACAACATCTATCTTCTTGTCACACTTTGTTTAGATTGCATCTTTCTTCAGCAACAATGTGGACTACTTCATTGCTTCACTGAGCTACGGGCCTAAGGCAGCGAGTGGATTCATTAGTCCTCTTTCAGCCGAATGCATGCTACAGTATAAGAAAAAAGCTGCTGCCTATATGAAGTCTTTGAGAAAGGTTTGTGATCTGCTGTTAGTATTTAAATCAGAGGACGCATCAGGAATCATTACAGAGAATGGCAAGAATTTTTTCCACGGTTCCCATTGTTTAGATTTTATACAAGTTTGGGGTACGGGTGGTTGGTGGTTGGTGGGTGTTGGAGGTGGCTCTGTGGGGAGGAGGTGGTGACAGAGACCCAAACTTTACTGATAAGAAGCTTTGCCTGTCTTCATAGACCATGTTAGACACATGTGCCAAGTGCCGGTAGAGTACCTGTAGGGAGGTAGTCAGGCAGGTACTTCAGAAACTTAACTTTTAGGAACAGAAAATAAAAATTAAGTTTTTAACCCAAGGCGCGGTGGCTCACACCTGTAATCTCAACACTTTGGGAGGTGGAGGCCAGAGGATTGCCTGAGCCCAGGGGTTTGAGACCAGCCTGGGTGACTTGGTGAGACCGAGTCTCTACAATAAATTAAAAAAAAAAACCGGCTGGGCTTGGTGGCTCAGTCTGTAATCCCAGCACTTTGGGAGGCCAAGGCGAGTGGATTGCCTGAACCCGTGGGTTCGAAACCCACCCGGGCAACTTGGCAAGACCTCGTCTCTACAATAAATCAAAAATTAGCTGGGCGTGGTAGTGCATGCCTGTAGTTCCAGCTACTTGGAAGGCTGAGGAGGAAGGATTGCCGGAGCCCAGCAGGTCAAGGCTGCGGTAGCCAGGAGCGTGCCATTGCACTTCAGTCTGGGTGACAGTGAGACTCCAACTCAAAAAAAAAAAACCTAGCCAGGTGGGGTGGCTACTTGGATGGTTGAGGGGCTGAGGTGGAAGAATCGCCCGAGCCCAGCAGGCTGAGGTTGTAGTGGCTGTGAGCATACCACTGCACTCCAGCCTGGTGACAAGAGTGAGACTTCAACTCAAAAAAAAAAAAAAAAAAAAAGAAAATTATGGGCACCCCAAATCCTACCACCCAAACTTACCTACTCTTAACTTTGTTAGAGAACATTTATATCCAAAGAAATGTTAATGTATTTGGAAGTGTATGCACTCACATATACTATAAAAAGCAAAATATATTTAGGTACATATACTGCTTAGAATCTTTTTTTCTCTTAATGCAGTATAGGTATGGTTTTATTTATCAAAAATTATATCCATAATGTAAATTATTATCATCATTTTCATGCCTCCATAGTATTTCATTCTGTAAATGTGTAGTAATTTTATTTATTTATTTATTTTTTGAGATAGGATCTTACTTTGTCACCCTAGAATGCTACTGCAGCCTTGACCTCCTGGGTTCAAGGGATCCTTTCGCCTCAGACTTCCAAGTAGCTGGGACTACATGTGCATGCCACCATGCTCGGCTAGTTTTGGTATTTTTTGCAGAGATGAGGTCTCACTCTGTTGCCCAGACTGGTATCGAATTCCTGGGCTCAAGTGAGTCTTCTGCCTTGGCTTCCCAAACTACTGGGATTACAGGTGTAAACCATCATGTGTGGCCAGTAATTTTAGTTAACCAGTTCATTGCTGGTAGATATTTAGGTTGCTGCCTATTTTTCAGTTTTGTGCAGTGCTACAGTGCATTTTACTTTTTTCTCTCATTTCTTAAAATATTTTTGACTATGCAATGCATAAACACATTCTTCTGTTAAAGTAGAGCATTATAGGTAATTTATAATCCCTAATTCCAGTTCCTCTCCAGAGGTAACCATAGTTATCAGTTTGATGTATATCCTTCCAGGCTCTTTGAACATTTATATGTATCTTTATAAACCTATAAACAATATATTGAATTTTCCTTCTTTTCTTTTTTAAAATTTAAATGTGTGTTTTGTTGCACAATTTTGCTTTTTTCATTAGAAATATGTTTTAGAGATCTGTCTATATCATTACATGTGAGGCCCACTATATTCCTGTTAAATATGGTATACTGTTTTATAATATGGACATTCTGTGGTTTGTTTGGGTTTCCCTTCATTGGTAGACATTTAGGTTGATTCCCGTTTTTTACCATTACAATAATATTGCAGTAGATAGCCTTGGGCCCATGGGTGGAATACTGAGAAGTAGAATGTTCTGGGCCATGTGGCTTGTACATTTTAAGTTTTAATGTGGGCACTCTAAAGGCTACTCTTAGTAATGTATAAGGCTGCCTATCTTCCTATACTTGTCTAATTGTCTTAATTATATCTTTAAGATTAATTCCTTCAAATAGAATTGCTAATTCAAAGTCTGTACTGTGAGTGCTTCAAATTTTGGCACATTTTTCCAGACTATACTTCGGGAAGGTTACCTATTATAGTTTATCATCAATACAAATATGAAAATAATCCATACATTTAATATTTGTCAGTCTCAGGGAGGTTTCTTTTATTTTAATTTGCATGCCTTTGCTGGAATATCCTTTCATTGTTGCCATTTGTATTTATTCTGTAAATTCTCTGTTCAGGTCTTTTACCTATTTTTAAATTTTCAATTTAAGTTGCTAATCACGGTTGAAAGAATTATCTATTGTCTGTTAATTCTGTTTATGTGGGAAATATTTTCCCCAAGTTTTCCATAGTATTTTTGTTTTGTTTTGTTTTTGAGTTGGAGTCTCACTCTGTCACCCAGACTGGAGTGCAGTGGCCGCTTCCGGCCACCGCAGCCTCGCCTGCTGGGCTCCAGCGATCCTTCCGCCTCAGCCTTTTGAGTAGCTGGAACTACAGGCGTGCGCTACCACACCCGGCTAATTTTTTGATTTATTGTAGAGATGAGGTCTTGCCAAGTTGCCCAGGCGGGTCTCGAACCCGCGGGCTCAGGCAATCCACTTACCTCAGCCTCCCAAAGGTACGGGATTACAGGCTGAGCCACCAAGCCCGGCTACCATAGTATTTTTTTAAAATAGAAGTTTTGATTTTTATATCATTAAGTCTCTTTATTGTTACCATTCTCAGCCAGGAGCTTTTCTAAGGTTATAGACATAACTCCATCCTCCAGTATTTTTACAGCCTAATTTTTAGATTTAAACCTTTAATTTATATAGAATTTATTCTGTTATAAGATGTGAAAGAAGGCTCTATATAGTTAACTTACCTAAATAATAAGCTAGTTGTCTTTGCACCATTTATCCAGTCCATTCTTTATCTATTTGATTAGAAATACAATACTGTCACATAATAAATGTTTGTATATGCTTTTATCTATTTCTGGATTTTCTCTTTTGAGACAGCTTCTTGCTCTGTTGACTAGAGTGGACCGCAGTGGTGTAGTCACAGCTCACCTCTGTCTCAAACTCCTAAGCTCAGGCAGTCCTGCCTCAGTCTTCTGAGTAGCTGGAACTAGAGGTGTGTGCTACCATGCCTGGTTAATTTTTTGATTTTTTCTTTCTTTTTTTTTTTTTTGTGGAGATGAGGTCTTGCTATGTTGCTTAGACTGCTCTCAAACTGGTCGGCTCAAGCAATCTTTCCACCTCAACCTCCCAAAGTTTTGGGATTACAGGTATGAGCCACCACACCTGGCCACCAGAACTTTACTTTCTTTAAGGAGAAAACTCAGATACTCTAGTATTTTCAGCTAATTACTCTAGTATTTTCAGCTAATTAACAAAAACGACATGGACTTGCACCAAACTTCAACACCCAATTAAAATTCTGCCTTTTCCAAAAGATATTCCCTAACTATCCCAGTGTTATCTATGGTTTTCTTCTTTCTCTCTCTCATTCTCTTTCTCTTTCTCTCTCGTAAACCACTGTTAATTGCTCATTACTTTCCAGCAATATGTGTGTTATGTTTCTAAACCAGGACTTTTATTTTTTTATAGAGATGGGCATCTTGGTCTGTTTCCCGGGCTGGTCTTGAACTCCTGGCCTCAAGCGTTCCTCCTGCCTTGGCCTCCTGGAGTACTGGAATTATAGGCATGAGCCACTATGTCTGGCCTAAAAATGGATTTAATATATCCAACTTGCTGACCATCATTGCTTAGCCTAGCCTACCTTAAACATGCTCAGAGCACTTATTAACTTACAGTTGGACAAAGTCATCTAACACAAAGCCTATTTTATAAGAAAGTGTTGAATATTTCATGTACAGTATTTAATACTGTACTGAAAGAAAAAAACAGAATTGTGCAGAATTATGTTACTGTATGCATGGCTTCTTCTGAGTGTATATTGCTTACACACTATTGTGAAATCATAAAATTAAATAGAACCACAGTAAGTTAGGGACCATCTTTAATGGGTATGAAAAGTTCTTTATCACTTTTCTTTTAAAAAATATTTTTTTACATGTATTAAAGGAAATACTTTATTTTGGCATACATCTGAATTTATCATCATACCTCATTTAGCATTCTTTGCGTATGTTGAATGGGAGGAGGGTAATACAATATTTTTCCTTGAATTCTTGTGATGCTTTTTCCATAGCCGCTCGTGGAGTCTGTGCCTTATGAGGAAGCACTGGCAAACCGCCGGATCCTTCTCAGCTCTACTGAAAGTCGAGAAGGCCTAGCACAACAGGTATGGCCCTTGGAAAATCATGGAAACTGTTAAAGAACAGAAATGGTAAACCCCTGGAGATTTTTCAAATGTCTCTATAAGTAAATGCATAAAATTAATTGTTTATTACATACTAGAAAGCACCATAGACATAATTTGTTGAAAAACATGTTGATACTCTCAATAAGTCATCTTGATTCAGTTGGTGTTATAATTGGCACAAAGGTAATATCAAAACGCTTTGGCTATGATGGTTAATTCTTTCTTTAAGCACTAGATTTAAATATCTGAAATAATAAAGCAAAAGAGGGGAGAAGGGCTAGAGACTTGGTGAGTTATTTTCATTCCTTAAATGAGCAGGAATGAAAAATTTCCAATGTTAAGTGGTCAGGTGAATTTGGGGAGTGGGAGAGGAGCCAGGTACTGTCATTTTCAGAGCTTGGTACAAACTGACACGAATTTAGCTTTTGTTGGAGGTTTCATCGTTTCAACATCTGCTTGCTTTTAGTTTTGGAAATACTGATTTTAAAGGGAGTACAAATAAATTCACCTAAGACAATATTTTTGTCTATGCTGACCTTATTTTCATTGGAAACGTCACTTTTCATCATTTCAATGCACTAAGATGTTGTTAATTAAATTTTAATTAACAGAATAATTCCTTAAAAACAAAATTGCAGACACAAACAATAAATTGTAGACTATCTTAAACATTAATTTTGGATTTTCTAGCCGGGCTTGATGGCTCAGTCTGTAATCCCGCGCTTCGGGAGGCTGAGGTGAGTGAATTGCCTGAGTCCGCGGGTTCGAGACCCGCCTGGCAACTTGGTAAGACCTCATCTCCACAATAAATCAAAAATTAACCTGGCATGGTAGCACGTGCCTGTAATTCCAGCTACTTAAAAGGCTGAGGTGGAAGTATCACCAGAGCCCCACAGGTTGAGGCTGTGGTGGCCAGGAACAGCCACTGCACTCCAGTCTGGGTGACAGAGTGAGACTCCAACTCAAAAAAAAAAAAAAAAGAATTTTGGATTTTCTTCTTTTTTTATGTGAGGGAAGTTAAGGCTCAAAGAAATTAAGTAACTTTTATCCAAAGTAGCTAGTCTAGTGGCATATCTGATTGACCTCAGAGCTAATGCTCTTCCCATTCTGCTGTTTTGACCACCTAGTCTGATAAGCCCTCTGGGCCTCACCTCCCACCTGGCTAAAGAGAGGATACTATCTACCATTCAGGGTCTTGTAAGGATTAATTGAACCAAGGGGAGGCAGTGTGATGCAGCAAAAACAGACTTGTGAAGACAGATGGGGCCCCAAATTCTGGCTCTGCCATTTGTTAGCTTAGCTGATGATCTGACTGGTGGGATCCTTAACTCTCCTTGAGGAGTAGGAGGAATTGTATAGGACTAGTAGGTGACTTCATTGGGGTAATGGTAACACATTGGTAATTGCTTGATCATGGTAGTTGGTAAAGCAAAGTATAGCATTACGTACAGAAAAGTATACAAATTATTAATGTACATCCCAATTGAATTTTCATAAGTGAAGACACTAAAGTAACTAGCACCTAGATTTTATTTTTATTTTTATTTTTTTTTAGTTGGAGTCTCACTCTGTTGCCCAGGCTGGCATGCAGTGGCACACTCATGGCAACCTCAGCTTGACCTGCTGGGCTTAGGTGATCCTTCTGCCTCAGCCTTCCAAGTAGCTGGAACTAGAAGAGAGGCACACACTACCACGCCCAGCCAATTTATTTGGTTTATTGTAGAGACGAGGTCTCACCAAGTTGCCCAGGCTAGTCTCGAATCCCCGGGCTCAGGCAGTCCTCTCACCTTGGCCTCCCAAAGTGCTGGGATTACAGGCTTAAGCTACCGCGTCCGGTCTGAACTTTTTATTAAATGCAATTATTCTCTTTCAGGTCTGGCTTTCAGCACTATATGATAGTTCTAATTGTTCCACAAACATGCCTATTTTTGTATTTTCTGTTTTTTAAATTGTAGTCAAATTGGTGGCTTAAATTTCTGTTCTTTGATATTGTGTACCTTCTCTTTATATGTTTACATTCTTGTTCAAGGATCTGTTCAATTCTTTTCTATTGGTGTTGCTTTTTTTCCTATTTCTCTATTGGAGTGGCTATCTTTTACTGATTTGCAAGAATTCTTTATATGTTCTGGATATCAGATCTCTGTTGCAGACATGCTTTACAGATTCTTCTTCTAATCTTTGGCTTTCCTTTTCACTCTCTTGATGTCTTTTACTGAATAGAGATTTTAAAATTTTACTTATTTTAGCTCAATTTCTTAATTTGCGGTTGTGCTTTTTGTATCCTGTTAACAACTACCTCCCTATTCCAGTGTTACGTTTTACTGGCTTTATCTCTGTGAAGTAGTTTTGGTTTACATTGGGTAAAATACTTTTTTGACCACTAAGCTTTGTCTGCATCAATCTCTAAAATGTAAGACTTTGTTACTCTTCAAGGTTCAACAGAGTTTGGAAAAGATTTCTAAACTGGAGCAGGAAAAAGAACATTGGATGTTGGAAGCACAATTAGCCAAAATCAAGCTAGAGAAAGAAAACCAACGAATTGCAGATAAGCTGAAGAGTTCAAGTAGTGGGCAGTCAGTTGGGCTCTCCCAGGAAAATGCTGCCGTATCGAATGCTGCTGGTCAGGATGAAGCCACAGCAAAGTCTGCATCAGAGCCTGTTCAGAGCACGAGTCTGGTAAGGGTATTCTTGGTTGCCCTCAGTTTTTTTGCTTTTGTAGTGCTTATTGGGAAGGACCTAATCTAGAGGTCAGTGTTAACTGTTGTTTTAGTCCTTCAGGCTGCTACAACAAAATACATAAACAGAGTGGCTTATGAACAACTGAAATTTATTTCTCACAGTTCTAGAGGCTGGTAAGTTCAGGACCAAGGCACCTGTGGTTTCCATGTCTGGTGGGTTTGTTTTCTTGTTCACAGACAACAGTCTTTTCACTGTGTCCACATATGCCAGAAGGGGCGAATGAGTTCTCTGGTGTCTCTTGTGTATGGGTACTAATGGCATAAGGTCATATCCCAAAGGCCCCACCTCCTAATATCATTGTTTTGAGGGTTAAAATTTCAAGCGTTGGCCTCACTTTATAGCAGGAATGATTCTTGTGCTCTAGAAAAAAGCAAACTGGTAAGCAGGATGTCTCCATCAAAAATAACTCCATTAAATTCCCTATGATTGGCTGGGTGCAATGGCTCAAGCCTGTAATCCCAGCACTTTGGAAGGCCAAGGTGAGAGGATTGCCTGAGCCCAGGGGTTTGAGACCAGCTTGGGCAACTTGGCAAGATCTCAGCCGGGCGTGGTAGCACATACTTGTAGTTCCTGCTACCTGGAAGGCTGAGGTGGAAGGATTGCCTGAGCCCAGCAGATCGACGAAGTAGTGGCCGTGAGCATGCCGCTACACTCCAGCCCCAACTCAATGAGACCCCAACTCAAAAAAAAATGAATGAATGAGACCCCCAACTCAAAAAAAAAAAAAAAAGAATGATGTGCCCGGGCGCAGTGCCTCATGCTTGTAATCCCAGCACTTTGGGAGGCTGAGATGAGAGGACTGCCTGAGCCCTCGGGTTTGAGACCAGCCTGGGCAACTTGGCGAGACTTCCACTCTACAATAAATCAAAAAATTAGCTGGGCATGGTGACGTGTGTCTGTAGTTCCAACTACTTGGGAAGCTGAGGCAGAAGAATCGCCTGAGCCCAGCAGATCAAGGCTGCGGTGGCCGTGAGCAGCGTGCCACTGTACTCCAGCCTGGAGAACAGAGTGAGACTCCTACGCAATTAAAAAAATAATTCCTACAATTTTACATGAGACGTCCCCATGGTGAGTTTCTGGAAAACATATGATAAGTCAAGTAGGATGATTTTTTTTTTTTCTTAAAAACATTTGTCATATGGGGTTATGTTTCTGACCAAGGACCAAATGCATAACTTTTTATAGTAATGACCACAAATACCATTTTAACCAATTATATGGTATATTTCTAGGTTGTATAAACCTTTCTAACATTCATATAGTACAGAAACCCATCAGGTTCTTTTTCATGTGGCAGTATGTTGGCAAATTCTTATAACTTTACATTTCTTGCCTTATTTTTAACAGCAGTTATTTAGAAGGTAAAGAAACATCTCTATGGGTGCTAATAGAATTCCAAGTTAAAAGTTTTCTAGGCCAGGCACGGTGGCTCGTGCCTGTAACCTCAGCACTTTGGGAGGCTAAGGCAGGAGGATTACTTGAGCCCAGGAGTTCAAGATTAGTCTGGGCAACATAGTGAGACCTCATCTGTACAAAAAACAAAAAAATAAAAAAATTAGCTGGGTGAGGTAATACACGCTGTACTTCCAGCTACTTGAGAGGCTGAGGTAAAGGGGCACAGAGCCCAGTGGTTTAGGCTGTTGTGAGACAAGAACTTGCCGCTTTATTCCAGCCTGGCAACAGAGTGAGACCTTGACTCAAAAAAAAAGTTTCTAATTATAATATTCTTCCTGCTGTAAAAAAAAAATTGGGGCCAGGCTCGGTGGCTCAGCCTGTAATCCTGTGCTTTGGGAGGCCGAGGTGAGTGAATTGCCTGAGCCCGAGGGTTCAAGACCCGCCCGGGCAACTTGGCGAGACTTCATCTCTACAATAAATCAAAAATTAGCTGGGCATGATAGCGCATGCCTGTAGTTCTGTTACTTGGAAGGCTGAGGCGGAAGGACCGCCGGGAGCGGCCACTGCAGTCCAGTCTGGGTGGTGAACATTTCTTTTTTTTTAGTTGAAGTCTCACTCCGTTGCCCAGGTTGGAGTGCAGTGGCACACTCATGGCCACCCCAGCATTGACCTGCTGGGTTCCGACGACCCTTCCGCCTCAGTCTTCCAAGTAGCTGGAACTACAGGTGCCCACTACCATGTCAAGCTAATTTTTGATTTATTATAGAGATGAAGTCTTGCCAAGTTGCCCAGACTGGTCTCGAACCCACAAGCTCAGGCAGTCCACTCGCCTCAACCTCCCAAAGTGCTGGAGTTACAGGCTGAGCCACCGAGCCTGGCCAGCATTTCTTGAGGAAACTGAAAAGAGCCTTGGTGTTTCATGAAGACGATGTTCTGAGATGTGTGCATTTCTGCTGACTTCCCTCTTGTAGCTTATGGGTGCTATTGCAGAACAAGTCTTGGGCCGTCTCAGATTTGCCTTCCATCTGACTCAGAGCATACCTGCTGGTTAAACATACAAGCCAGCTTTTATATTCAAGATGAATGCATACCTTTCTGAACCTTTCCAGTGTCAGAACCTAGGATAATTGCTAATTTTCCTAGGTGTGGTAATGGCATTATTATTTCAGAGAATATCTTTATTTTTTGGACCTAGATGCCAAAGTGCTTAGGATGAAGTATCATAATGTCTGCAACTTACTCTCAGATTGTATAGAAAAAAATACACATAGATCAATAAAGCAAAGGTAGTGTGTTAACAATTGTTGTATTTAGATGGTGAATATACAGATATTTGCTGTACTTTTTACCCCCAATTTTTCTATATGTTTGAAGTTTTTTATTTTATTTTATTTTTGTTGCTTTTTGTTATTTTTGTTTTGGAGTCAGTCTCACTCTAGCCCAGTTTGGAGTGTAGTGGCACGCTGCTCATGGCCACCGCAATCTTGACCTGCTGGGCTCAGGTGATCCTTCTGCTTCAGCCTTCCAAGTAGCTGGGACTACAGGTATGTGCCACCACGCCTGGCTAATTTTTCTTGATTTATTGTAGAGATGAGGTCTTGCCAAGTTGCCCAGGCTGGTCTTGAACCCTAGACTCAAGCAATCCTCTTGCCTCCGCCTCCCAAAGTGCTGGGATTACAGGCATGAGCCACCATGCCTGGCTGAAGTTTTTGTTTTGTTTTGTTCTGTTTTTTTTTGAGTTGGAGTCTCACTCTGTTACCCAGACTGGAGTGCAGTGGCCGCTCCCGGCCACTGCAGCCTCGACCTGCTGGGTTCCGGCAATCCTTTCCGCCGCAGCCTTCCAATAGCTGGAACTACAGGCATGCACTACCACACCCGGCTAATTTTTTGATTTATTGTAGAGATAAGGTCTCGCCAAGTTGCCCAGGTGGGTCTCGAACTTCCGGACTCAGGCAATCCACTCACCTCAGCCTCCCAAAGCGCGGGATTACAGGCTAAGCCACTGAGCCCGGCTTGGCTGAAGTTTTTAATAATAATATATAGAAGAGAAAGAAAAGAATTTAAATATTTTCATGAAGCAAAAAATAAAAACCACATGTCCTAGAGTGTTAACTTGAATAGTCACCATGCTCACTGGGTGCTCCTGTAGTGTGCCCCTCCCTATGACAAGTTTGTTGTCCCAGCTGCAACTCCTGTATTTTGCTTCTCACGGGGCAAGATGACTGTGTTTACCACCATGCCAGTGGTTTAGCATTTAGCCACAGGGTCTGAATGAAGTCATAAGAGATTCAGCAAACAGCAGAATTCCGACAGCTGTCCAGGTAGCATTTGGGATAAGTGTGACACTGCCCCCACTCATTCCCTTTTGGACTTGCCTTCAGAGTCTGTCACATAGATGGGGTCAGGTTCTCCTCCATTGTGTCTCATGTCCTCTTTCGCCTCTCTTCTGACCACCTGCCTCCTTTCCTTCCTTTTCTTCCACTTGTGCTCACAGTAGAGTTGGTAGTGGCCAGCAAATTACTGGGACGAGACTAGACCAGGGTGGACGCTGTTGACAACAACATTGATGACAGTCATTGCTTGCCAGTCACAGGTATTATGACTATTCAGTGTGTTAGGTCAGTCAGTCCTCACACAGGATTGTGGGTACTGTGACATTATAGGTATTATCATATCTCCCTTTTATAGTTGAGGAAACTGGGGACCAAGGGAAAATAACTCACCTGAAGTCACACACTTGGTAAGTGACAGGATGTCTGGGTCCACAGCCTGCCCTTTAACCAACATGGCCTTGTGCGCTGATCTGTGTCAGAAAGCAGACTGGCTGACATAAACTTATTTGTTGACTGCTTGCCTTCCTGAGGTGCTGGAAGCTGGTAACACTGGCATATTTGAGTCCTTAATGTCAGTTGCTGAAAGTTGAAGATTATCTCTTTATTTGAACATTTTCAATGGAAAGCACTGTTTTTCCATATGGGAGTGAGAAAAATTTCCAGAGACATGAAAAACATTCTTTAGTACCGGACACTGTTGCTGAGCTGTTGTGTGATGGTGACTTTATTTGGGTTTAGAGAGTTTGGAAGTTGCTGTTACTTTAAGTAGGCTATCTATAATTAGTAAAGTGGTGGAAAGCCACCAGGAGATTACTTTGAGGCTGAAAAAGTAACCCAGATAGAAACTTAGAGAAAATATTAAAAGTGTTTATCCTAACCCCATAGCTTTTAAATGCTTATTATTTTCGTTAAAATATCTACTACTGCAATTTGAATACACAGCAACTTGTTATTTATTAATTAAAAAAATAACAATAATCTTAAGAAAGAAAAGCATAGAACAATATAAATTTGAGGGGCATTGCTTAAATTAATATAATTTTTTTTTGAGTTGGAGTCTCACTCTATTGCCCAGGCTGGAGTGCAGTAGCACATTTACGGTCACCCCAGTATCAACTTGCTGGGCTCTGGCAATCCTTCTGCTTCAGCCTTCCAAGTAGCTGGAACTATAGGCATGCGCTACCACGCCCGGCTAATTTTTGACTTATTGTAGAGATTAGGTCTCACCCTGTTGCCCAGGCTGATCTTGAGCCTGTGGGCAAAGGCAATCCTCTCACCTCAGCCTCCCAAAATGCTGGGATTACAGGCTGAGCCACCAAGCCCAGCCAATATAATTTTTAAATAGATATTTTAAGTGTAAAAATATTACATGTACATTGTAGATAGCTAAACAGAAGAGTAAAAGAAGAAAAAATGACAGCATCCGGAGTAACCAAGCTACCACTATTAACATTTTTTTGTATAAAATTCATATATGGTTTACATTATATGTAGATTACATTACATAAATTTTCAAATCTTTTAGAATAATGTTAATACTCATTTATCCTGTGTCTAGAAACTGTATAAACTTAGTTATTGATTCCATAGTAGCCCATGTCTAATATACCTTAGTTTCATCTATGATTGGACATTGGTTATAATTTTTAGTAATTATAATTGTTGGTTATGATTTTTATTTAAATAGCATCTCATTTTTATGCATAAGATTCTTCTGCATGTGAGGTATTTTTTATTGGGATATATTCTCATAGTTGGAATTACAAGGTCAAAAAGGCATGAATGCTTTATTTGATTTTATTATAAAGATTTGGGGTACAATTCAGGGTTAGGTATACAAACGTTGGTTATGCAGATAACCTTGTTAATGAGGTATGCCCCTCCCTCCCTCCCTAGGGTCATGAATGTTTTCAAGTTCCTTGATATTTATTGCCAAATTATTTTCTACAAGGACTGTATTAGTTATGCTCTTGTTAGTAGCATATGAGAAAATAATGAAACTATATATGTTAAAATTTTTACTTTAATTTATATAATACCATTCTTTTGCAGGACTATATGCTGAACCATATTTTCAAACCATAACCTAGGAGTTAGGGATGAGGGTGGGGTTTGAACAGATGAATTCTTGAAGCTTATTTTATCAAATGCAGTCATATTTGAATATACAAAATTAGGTGATTGGTGTGTTATTGTAAGCAGTTTTTAACTAAAGAGAAAGAGTAATTGCTACTTCTGCTTCATTGAGTAGAAGATTATGGCTCTTGTATTTTAAAAAGTCTTTTAAAAGACTTTGTTACAGCCAGGTGGGCATAACATTCATTAGTACACATTTAGTTAATATACTGTGCACTATTCAGAATGTTATTTAGAATATGAGAAAACTGTTTATTGGGTATTATCTCAGATTAACAGTCTCTTGAAACTGAGTTTCCAGTAATTCCCTTAAATGATTGTGCTCATGCCCCTCCACCTTGAATAATAACTTGAATTCAGTAATTATAACTATCAATTTTTGAAATTTTAATCCACACAAAAGCAAGCCTTTCTTTTTTTTTTTTTTTTTTGAGTTGAAGTCTCACTCTATCTCCCAGACTGGAACCACTGCAGCCTCGACCTGCTGGGCTCCAGCGATCCTTCCGCTCAGCCTTCCAAGTAGCTGGAACTATAGGTGCTCGCTACCATGCCTGGCTAATTTTTTTATTTATTGTAGAGGTGACGTCTTGCCAAGTTGCCCAGGCGGGTCTTGAATCCACGGGCTCAGGCAGTCCACTCACCTCAGCCTCCCAAAGCGTGGAATTACAGGTTGAGCCACCGAGCCCGGCACACAAAAACAAGCTTTAAAAAATCTAGCAACACTTTAATGTCTTTAAAATTACATTTTTGTTTTCATTAATTTAAAACTGACATTAATGCTTATTAATGTTATAACATTATATCAAAAGTATGTTCTTTTATTTCTCCTTCTGAGCTTTCAGTTAGAATGTTTATGATTTGTGTTTTCTGTTTGGAATGTTTAATTATTATGGTCACTGTAAAGCTGTCTTTACTCCTTCTTGGCAACTGATTTGGAAATAGATGTAGAAATGAGAATATGGGGTCAAAAGCTGATCATCCTCTCTCTCTGCTTAGACAGTTTGTTGGGTTTCAGAGAAAATGGCTAACCAGCATTTTGATAGAGGATTTCGTGAGGATAGCTATTGGTTACTGCCTCATGGCAGAAATTGTGAATGCAGTTACCTTCTCCCAATACAGTATCCTTGTGGTAAAAGACGATCCACGGTAGTATTGCACTGCCAATGCTCTATAGAACAACGTGAACTGAGAAGAGAAAATATTGCAAGTGTTTAATCTATTGTGTTTGAAATGTAAATATTCTGTTCTAAAGTTTTTTTTTTCCTTTATGTTCTAGATTGGGATTTTAACCAGGACATCTGACAGTGAGGTAATGTGCGCTTGGCATCATTTTGCTTGTTAGTAAATATCTGGCAGCATGTTTGTTGCAAAGCCTTGCAAAAGGCATCTTTGTCCAATTGTTTCTTTCTGACAGTTCTAGCAAACGTGGAGCCAGTACTTTCCCCCCTCCACTGAATGATCCATACTGCTTTTCTCTCTCGTTTTATTTAACTGTCACCAGCACTTTATGGCCTGTTCTTGTCATTGCCTTGTTGAGTGACTTGCCTTGGCAGTTTGACAAGGTGTGGCTCCTGCTCAGCCCTCCGCTTGCTGGCACCCTGCGTGAGGCTGAAAGCCATGTTAGTCCTCCCAGTGGGCCGTGCTCTTCAGGGTCTTGACAAGTATGGTGCTCGGTAGCTCTTTGTAGCCTTCAAGGGAGTAAACCCAGATTTGGCTTGTCAGATCGATTTGCACATATGAATTTTGAAATATTCTAAGATGTAACTAGAAGTAACCATTAAATGAATGGCTGAAGTCATTCAACTTACAATTCAGTATAGCAGACTGGTATATATAGTTCAAGTAAGTTGGTAACTTCTTTGATGTCCTTGTTTATTCTTATAATATAGATCATCTTGAGCTGCTACATGGATCTTTAAACTAAACTCAACAGTGTATCATTGCTAGAGTAACTAGTAAAAATGCCAGTCGAGGACAATGGCTATAAACCATTCAATATAGAAACAGTTTAATTTATTAGTATGTTTAAGAGCATTAGAAGCAGGGCATGGTGGCTCAAGCCTGTAATCCCAGCATTTTGGGAGGCCAAGGTGAGGGGATTGCCTGAGCCCATGGGTTTGAGAACAACCTGGGCAACCTGGCAAGACTGCATCTCTAGACTAAACCAAAAAATGAGCCAGGCATGGTAGCATGTGCCTGTAGTTCTGGCTACTTGAAAGGCTGAGATGGGAGGATTGCCTAAGCCCAGCAGGTCACCGCTGGGGTGGCTGTGAGCATGCCATGGCACTCCAGCCTGGGCGATGGAGTTAGATTCGGACTAAAAAAAAAAAAAGCAAAAAAAAAATACCACATTAGAAATGTTTTAAGAGAATTTGTTTGGGAGAAAACAAGAATCTTTGGACCTTAAAAGTTCCAGTAAGGAACCTCTTTCCTGCCCTCTTCCAATTGGAGGAGGACATAGGAGTCAAACAGATGGAAATTTTGTAAGTCAGGTTTGTGGTTAATAAGAGCCAAATGAAGGGACATGGTCCATTGGGCTTCCCAGGACTTCAGTTCTGTTCTCATGAAGCCACACAACTTCATTCTAAGATGCTGAATAAAGGAATTTGGTATATACATTTTCCTGCTAAGTCTGAAGTTTCTTCGAGGAGTAGGAAAACAGTGATTCCCCATCAAATTTCAAGTGAAAATGTACAAAATATTTTCCTTTTTTTTCCAGAATTGCTTCATCTCACTGGCATTTGTTTATTTATATATGTTTGTGTTCCATTTAGGGTCCAGATGTGGAATCTCGTGAAGACTTAATTAAGAGTCACTACATGGCAAGGATAGTGGAGCTTACGTCTCAGTTGCAACTGGCTGACAGTAAGTCAGTGCATTTTTATGCTGAGGTGAGTGGAGTTAATTAGGCTGGCAGTTTTGTCCCAAGCCCCTGCAGAAATAAGGTCACCGTCCTGTTCTGCTGTTCATTAGAAGAGAGAAATCAGCCGGGCTTGGTGGCTCAGCCTGTAATCCCGTGCTTTGGGAGGCTGAGGTGAGTAGATTGCCTGAGCCCGTGGGTTCGAGACCGCCTGGACAAATTGGCGAGACCTCATCTCTACAATAAATAAAAAATCAGCTGGGCATGGTAGTGCATGCCTGTGATTCCGGCTACTTGGAAGGCTGAGGCAGAAGGATTGCCGGCGCCCAGTGGCTCGAGGCAGCAGTGGCTGGGAGCGGCCACTGCACTCCAGTCTGGGCGACAGAGTGAGACTCCAACCCAAAAAAAAAATTGAAAAAATTGAAAAAAAGAAGAGAGAAGTCAGTGTCTATGTATCCTATGACTTTGCTTGGGGTTCCTATTAATTAATCTATGTAAATCACCCCCAAATTTGTATTTCACTAAATATAAGACTGATTTGTCATTTCCAAGTTATTGCAGGATAGCTGGGAGACTTATGGGCGGCCTTTCCTGTGGTATATACATATGCTTGGGAACATTTTTATCACAGATTATTTGCTTTTAACAGGTAAACATTCACAGCTCAAGAAATTTTCATGTAGACAAGTTAAAGAACAAACTATGCCTGATTTTTAAAAATATTCTTTAATTTCTAAATGATGAGTTTGTGGAAATGAATTCTTATAATAGGTAAAATGAAAGATGTAATATTTTTCAACCTTTAAAGGATATAAAATCTTAATTGTTAAATTTTCTTCTTCCCTCACCAAATAATTCACTTTCATAAGAGAATTAGAAAAGTACTATGCAATATTATCAGAAAAATTGTACACAATTCATAGAGTAGAAGGGGAAAAATGAAGATAGAAAGTTTAGATACCAAAGGGTAAGAAATGAACATTAAGATAGAATGGACACTCCTTAGCAAGAATACCTGTGAGGTCTGTTATGGATGACTGGCAGAGAATTATAATGCTTGAAATTATTAAAGAAATTGAAAAAGAAAAGACAACACCCTTTACTGGGACCCGACTTTGTGATTTCCTCCCTGCAGAGATAGAGATGTTGTTAGGAGACCAGTTGCTAGAAGTAGAGAGGAATTTTACTTTTCTAAAATAAATCACATGCCTAGCTCAGTGTTGTTTGCAAGCATCCACTGCAGACGTGTTAGACAAGTTGATCAATAGGGATTGCTTGTTGGAGCGCAGAAAGGGGGAGGACAGCAATATGAATGACTTGCAAGGGAATGCTGCCCCCCAGCCTGAGCCACACAGTGCCACAGATGCTGTCCTCATTGTGTGGTTCCCTGGCTGCTTTGTGAGTTGGAATTCAGGCGTAACTATCCTCTTCTTGAGGACCTGTGCCCTGGATGTCTCTCTCCCTCTTGTCAGGTTGGGTGCTGAGCACAGGGTAGGTGTGTGGTTAGTAGGACGTGGTTGATTTGGTTGGCTGAATTATCCTGAAATTTTCTTGTAAAAAATGAAATGACTAATTGGGGAATTTTTTAAGCAGTTTTATTTCCAAGAGATTTGCTTATTTTAGTAAATGTCTTCAGCACAATTATGATACAAAAATGTTTAAATTGTCCTAGTTTCTCTTCATCTGTAAACAGGAAGTGGTGACCCCCTGTGTGACTTTACTGGAATGGTTAGTCTGAGCACCTGATGTTGACACAACATTCAAGTGTGTCTCCTTGTCAGTTTAGTGGCCTTATCAGAAAGTCAAGTGGTCCTTTAATCTCACACCCTCTTTGAGCAATAGTGTGAAGTAGTTGTTTCTCTTTTAGATCTACTATGTCTCTGGATAGACGAGGTTTGGTAGGACCCCCAAAGAAAGCAGCCTGGGGTATTACAGTCCTATACTCATCTTTTCCCTTGTAGAGTATCATTTTTAGGGTAGGATTGTAAAGTTTTAATGTTCCTATAATGTGATCTGTAAAGAAAGACTTATAGAAAAGTATCTTAGGATCTGTACATGGTCAGAAGTCACTGATAACTGAAATAATCACTTTCCTTTTCATCCAGTAGTAGTCTAAGGGAATCCTGGGCAAATGTGGACATTCTTTTTTTTTGAGTTGGAGTCTCACTCTGTCGCCCAGACTGGAGTGCAGTGGCCGCTCCCGGCCACCGCAGCCTCGACCTGCTGGGCTCCGGCGATCCTTCCGCCTCAGCCTTCCAAGTAGCTGGAACTACAGGTGCGCGCTACCATGCCCGGCTAGTTTTTGATTTATTTTAGAGACGAGGTCTCGCCAAGTTGTCCGGGCGGGTCTCAAACCTGCGGGCTCAAACAATCTACTCGCTTCGGCCTTCCAAAGTGCTGGGATTACAGGCTGAGCCACTGAGCCCAGCCCGTTCTTAAGTTTTTTAATAACTGCAGGTTGGTTGGGGGGTGGGAGGGGAAAGTAACCACAAATCATCAGGCTAGAGCTAAGGAAAAAGCATTGATGAGCTTGAGTTGGTAGACTTTATTCCCCTTACCTAAATGATGAGGGTCGAGGAAGAGGTGGGGGTCACTTTGGTGAATACTACTTGTATTCTACTTGTATTCTAGCTTGTGGAATACTACTTGTATTCTAGCTTGTGGTGCAATGCCTGTAGATATTCAGAGGATAATTGTGGAATGAATGAATGGCTTTGGCTTTGGAAAGTGTTTCTAGTAACCTTCCCTGAAGCAGATTTTAATTTAGAAAGCACTCCTTCTAGTAATGGAACGTTTCTGATTTTATAGTGCCGAGCACTCTCTAAAAGACTGGCCTTGGCGGAAAAGTCTAAGGAGGCATTGACGGAAGAAACGAAACTTGCCAGTCAAAACATCAGCAGGCTTCAGGTGAGTACATGAGTGTTATCTAAGCAGTTTTTATGCTTTTCCTTTAAGAGTTCTTAGGCAGCAAAGTCATCATTTCCTTTCCAAAGTAGTTGCATTTGATCTCTACAAAGGTTTTTAAAAATAACCATTTTGCCAAGTATGGTGGCTCAGGCCTGTGATCCCATCACTTTGAGAGGCCAAGGTGAGAGATTGCCTGAGTCCAGGGGTTTGAGACCTGCCTGGGCAACTTGGCAAGACCTCTTCTCTGCAACAAATCTAGAAAAATTAGCTGGGTATGGTGATGCACACCTGTAGTTCCAGCTACTTGGAAGGCTGAGGAAGATCACCTTAGCCCAGCAAGTAGAGGCTGTGGTGACTATGAATGTGCTACTGCACTCCAGCCTGCACTCCACTCTGGGCGACAGAGTGAGACTCCAACTCAAAAAACCCAAGAAAAACCATTTTATTTCTAACTCATTTTAGAGCAACATCTTATGTCAGGCAAATGTGGTTGTGTTGTTTTCTTCTCTGACTTGATTTTGACTTTAAATCACTTCATGGTCAAGTATTTGCTTAAATAACGCTTGCCCATAATTCTTCCTTTCTTCCCCTGCATTGTAAAGACTTGCCATGGGGGCCTGTAGTTTTGTTCTACACACATTACCCTGTTCCTTTTTCCTTTTTCATAAAACTGACCTAGACTGAGAGGCTGCAAAATATTCCTCCTTACTCACTACCGGTTTGAAACTCTTGTTTTCAGAAAGTGCCTATTATTTTTTTTTTTTTTTTTTGAGTAGGGAGTCTCACTCTGTCACTCAGGCTGGAGGCAGTGGAACGATCACAGCTCCCTGCAACATTGGGCTCAAGCAGTCCTTCTGCCTCAGCCTCCTGAGTAGTTAGGACAACAGGCTCACACTACCATGCTTAGCTAATTTTTTTATTTTTTGTAGAAATGAGGTCTCACTATGTTTCCTAGGCAGGTCTCGAACTTCTGGGCTCAAATGATCCTCCTGCCTTAGCTTCCCAAAGTGCTGGGATTATAGACGTGAGCAACTGCGCCCAGCCACAAAGCCCCTATTCACAAAAACATGATACTAGGCAAGGAAAAAAATTATCAGTATAGCAACACCCACTTCCTTCTTGTTCCAGAGGAGGTTACCAGGTTAGTTAGAAGCATAGGATTAGATCTTAGGGGGGCAGAAGAGAGCAAGAGAGGTGGGAAGAGAGATGAATGGTGCTTTTTCCTGGGAAGGTGCTGTTAGGGACTATGGGCCCTGAGGTGTGGGATGATGGGAATGGTTGGAGGCCTTGCCTAAGGCTTGGGAAAACCTGAGGGGATTTGGAAAGACCATGTAGCTTTTCTTACACTTTTATACCTGGCATAGAAAGAAACCCTTACCTTTTTGCAAAGAAATTATGAACATATTTTGAAGATTGAGAAAACCTTTTCTCCTATTTTTTTAAAACTTTGTGCTCTTGGCTGGGTGCGGTGGCTCAAGCCTTTGAGAGGCCAAGGTAAGGGAATTTCCTGAGCCCATGAATTTGTTAGAACAGCCTGGGCAACTTGACAAGACCTCATCTCTACAATAAATCAAAAAATTAGCAGGGTGTAGTAGTGCACACCTGTAGTTCCAGCTACTTGAAAGGTTGAGGTGGAAGGACTGCCTGAACCCAGCAGGTTGACACTGGGGTGGCCTTGAGCATGTGTGCCACTGCACTCCAGCCTGGGCGATGGAGTGAGACTCCAACTCAAAAACAAAAACAAAAACAAAAAACTTTGTTCTCTTGTTAGGTTTGTGCCTTAACCTTCACGTACTGGATCAGATAGACTATATTAATAGGTTGCTTTTCCAAATTAAAAAAAAATTTAATTGATAGATAATAGTTGTACATATCTGAGGGGTACATGTGATACTTTGATCATCTATACAATGTGTAGATGATCAAATCAGGATAAGAGGATATCCATCACCTCAAACATTTATCTTTATGTTGGGAACACTATGTTCTCCTAACCGTTTTGAAATAGACAATACATTTTTATGAATTATAATTTCCCTACTCCAAGTTTTTTTATGCATTAAAGACGCTTCAGAGTGGCATGACTAGTAGGGTTTTGATTTTTCTCTTTCTTTTCCCTCCCCTTTTCCTTTGTAATTTAGGATGAGCTGACAACTACCAAGAGGAGTTATGAGGATCAGTTAAGCATGATGAGTGACCACTTGTGCAGCATGAACGAGACACTGTCTAAACAGAGAGAAGAGATTGACACGCTAAAGATGTCCAGTAAGGTATGTGAGGTGAGGTGAGGTCATCTGTATGTGATTATTTAATATAAAATATTTCCTTCTTATGTGTTTCAGGAGCAAAAGGTTGTGAAATTTAAAGTGCTTATAAATCATTTTCCTTAATATTGTTTGCCCTCTTGTCCAAAAGTAAAATTAAGTACCTTTGGCTGAGTTAAAAGCCAAGAAAGCGTATCTCTAAGGATTACTGTACTTGCTGCTTTTTGGCACCTTTGGCATTTCTGCTACTGTTGTATGAGAGCTGGGGGGACTCACAAAGAGGTTTTGGAGGGGCTTGCACTTTCTTTACGTAAGAGTCTAAAGTGTAGACTGGGCACAGTGGCTCATGCCTATAATCCCAGCACTTTGGGAGGCCAAGGTGAGAGGATTATTTGAGCCCATGGGTTTGAGACCAGCCTGGGCAACTTGGCAAGACCTCATCTCTACAATAAATCAAAAAATTAGCCGGGTGTGTGCCTTTAGTTCCAGCTACTTGGAAGGCTGAGGCGGAAGGATTGCCTGAACCCAGCAGGACGAGGCTACGGTGGCTGGGAGCGTGCCATTACATTCCAGCCTGAGTGACAGAGTGAGACTCCGACTCAGAAAAATAAAAAAAGAGTCTAAAGTGGTACTATTGAAGGTAACCTTTAGAAAATTTATTCTCATAAATATTCATATAACCCAGGTATGTCTTACCCTTTTAACTCCAGAGATTTCTTTTGATTTTATTTCCCATAAACCCTCTGCCTGTTTAGACCGGGGTCAGTAGATATTGTACAGTATGTTCAGGTTGGAATGCACATCCACATACCATGTCTCTATTATATAATATAATGTATACACTCTTTTGCTGTGAAAGGTAAACTTTGAGAGGCTGGGGCTCAGTTCTGTGCGTCATCTCAGATGCTTCACCTATTTTGGTAACTCAGATAGTGTATTATACCGCCAGCCCTGGGATTTACTGTCTTTAGCTTGCACCCGCTTGTTGATACAGCAGGAATTTATTGAGTTCCTGCTATGTGCACTGTGAAGGAAATAGAGATGAATAAATCACGGCTTTATTTTAGCATCTGCTAGCGATGGTATAAGGCAGAATTCTGCTTAGTAGGGGTCTCCTTGGAAATGTCACGTTAATGCACTGGAATTTGCATTATATAATTTTGTTTGTCAAGATAGCTTTGTGATATTCATTGACCTCTCTCACTGCTTTGGAGGGTGTCTCTGATGCTTCTTGGGCCATCTCTTTAGTGATTGTAACCAGTCAGTATGGTTCTGATTAAGGCTTTCTAGGGCTCTCTAGTTTCTTGTGCTTCAGGAAACTTGAGCTTAGAGGTAGGGGATGGGGGCTGGTCCCCTTGAAGAATGCCTTCCTTAACTCTTTTGGTTTCTTGGATTTCCAGCAGAATCTAACTCACAGGTTATGTTCCTAGTAATGGTAGAAAGCATACACACTAAAGAGGTCATGTTTAGGTTTTCCCTTAGTATGTACAATTTATCTTAGCAGTAGTATGAGAAGGCCTGTTTCAGCACCTAGCACTTCAAAAGAAGTAGCAATGATTCTAGGAAAACTTTTCAGTCTCCAGAACTTCAGAAGTATTTGGTTTTGAATTGAGAAGAGTAACTATTGAGGAAAGCAGAAAGCAAAGTTCATTGTCCTGAAGGTAATTGGATTGTAGCTAATTTGGAAGCTATGAAGTTTTCAAGTCCTCTCCGAGCTTTTTTGATGTATTTTTTTTTTTTTTTTTTTGAGTTGGAGTCTCACTCTTGTCACCCAGGTTGGAGTACAGTGACACACTCACAGCCACTGCAACCTCGACCCACTAGACTTAGGCAATCCTTCCACCTCAGCCTTCCAAGTAGCTGGAACTACAGGCGCACATCACCACTAGCCTGGCTAGTTTTTGTGTTTTATTGTAGAGATGAGGTCTCACCAAGTTGCCCAGGCTGGTCTGGAACCCCTGGGCTTAGGCAGTCCTCTTGCCTTGGCCTCCCAAAGTGCTGGGATTACAGGCTAAGCCACCACGCCTGGCCTTGATCTATTTCTTAAAATACCTGTCATTAATAAAACTCTGTAAGATATTGTTTTTCAATTTGGAATTAATATTGTTAACCTTTCTTTGGTTATTCTGTAACCCCTGTATTTTTCTTCCCACCCCCCTACGCCTGTTATTGGTAATTTATTTTGCTATGTCTTATGGCAGAGTTGACATTGTCTCCATTGGATACGAAGTAAACATCCTCAACCATTTGTTTGCTATTATCTTGCTCTTAGTGTTTGTATTCTGCAAGCATTTCTTACTTACATGAATAAAATGTATTTATACCTAAGAGTTAAATATAGGAATTTAATTACAGTGTACTTCTAAAAAGTGAACCTCTCCAGAAAGAAGAAAAGTTATGAAAAACCGGCAAGTTCGGATCTCCAGGGAATTGGGAATACATTAAGACATCTTCCCTCTAACTTGTACTCAGCTGGTATCTAAGCTTACTTTTGACAGGTGATCTGTGCCATTTGGTTGTTAAATGACACATATTCAAAATTATTACCTATTAAGACCTTTAAGAGGTCTTTTTTTTAGAGTTGGAGTCTCACTGTCTCCCAGGCTGGAGTGCAGTGGCACAATATCAGCCACCTCAGCCTTGATCCTTTTGCCTCAACCTTCCAAGTAGCTGGTACTACAGGTACATGCCACCACACCTGGCTATTTTTTTTTTTATTGTAATGGCGAGTTCTCACCACTTTGCCCAGGCTGGTCTTGAATTCCTGGGCTCCGGCAGTCCTCCTCTCTCCTTGGCCTCTCAAAGTGCTGAGATTACAGGCATGAGCTACCACGCCCAGCAAGGAGGTCTTACTGTTTTAAATAAACAATAAAGAAACATGTTTGTTTTTTTTGTTTTTTTTTTGAGCTGGAGTCTCACTCTGTCGCCCAGACTGGAGTGCAGTGGCTGCTTCCGGCCACCGCAGCCTCGACCTGCTGGTCTCCGGCGATCCTTCTGCCTCAGCCTTCCAAGTAGCTGGAACTACAGGCGCGTGCTACCACGCCCGGCTCATTTTTGATTTATTGTAGAGATGAGATCTCGCCAAGTTACCCAGGCGGGTCTCGAACCCGCGGGCTCAGGCAATCCACTCACCTCAGCCTCCCAAAGGCGTGGGATTACAGGCTGAGCCACTGAGCCCAGCTAAGAAACATGTTTAGGCTAACATTTTTAAATTCAACTTCATGAAATCTTAGACTGTCTCGTCTTAGGAACAAAATGAATTTTTAAGGTCTTGATAAATTTAACATAGCAGTTTTCTTTATCACTTACCCACAGCCTCCAGAAGGATAAGGTCTGTGAAATAGAGAGTGGAAAGAGTTAAACGTAACAAACTGCTTGTGATTACTGAATAAAAGTTAACATGCAAGGTTGTCAACTTTTCTCCCCCTTGGAAGCCAGTGTTCCAGAGTGAAATATGGCTTTCAGACAGCTTGGTGTCAAAAGTATGCGAATTATTTTTTTGGAAGTTTGTGTTCTTACTGTTGATATTTTTCTTTGCACAGGGGAATTCTAAAAAGAACAAGAGCCGATAGTGTTCCAGTAGCTGGTCGGTTACTGTTCTTTCCAGAGCTGCTCTTGCATGCAGCAGGGCTGAGACCACGTCCATGCTGGCCGCCTTCCGGAAGCTGAAGTGTTGTTGGACCTAGCAAGCTAGTCTTGTTGGACATGGCCTTGAAACATCTAATACATATTTGTAACCAGTAAGGCAAATACAGAAGTTGATGTTGGCAGTAAATGGAAAACAATACATATACCATGGATATTGTAGGTTTCCTTATGCTGTTTTTACTGTGCACTTTTTAAAAATTAGGTTTTCATTTCAGTATGTAAGAACAAATATTTTGTATATTTTCAAACTCAATTATATGGTAATCGATTTGGTATCTATGGAATAGATATATGTTTCTGGGAAAAAATGCTTAAATTGTCAAACTGTCATTACTTCTTACCATAATTGAAAGCATTCTCCAGATTCTTTTTTTTTTTAAAGATTTGTTCATATTCTCTCTCTCTCTCTGAAGAGGAGGGAGGGAGCCTTGCAAACTTCAGATCTTGTGGGTTTATTATCATTGTCTCTAGCTCTTCGGTACCCTCTGTGTTAGAGTAATAGCTAAAGGAAGTTCATGTCAATAAATTCGTACTTATATCAAACTTTTAGTCTCTTTATGAAAATTTGATAAAGGCAAGTGAAACCTATTAAAGAAGACTTTATAAAATGTATCAAAACCCAGCTGGCTTAAGTATAATGTTCTAATTCCTCAAATTGGAATAATTATACAGTTAATCCTTTAGTAAGGCTCTTGAATGTTGTCTTGAATGCTACTTACAACCACACTTCAAGCAAGGACCCTGAACCCTTTTTAAGGCTCCCCTTGGCTTATCTCGTAAACCCTGTGTCATTTCTGTGTGCATCTCAGAGTGTCTCTCCAAGCACGCTCCACATGCCACCTGCTCCCAAGGCCCTGAATATATTGCTCCTTTCTGAGTTGCTTGCACAGGCCCGCTTCACCCCTACTTCCAAGCCCTCCGACCATCTGAGGGATTCTTGAAACCCTTCCTCCCCATTTTCCTGCCTGCAGCTCCAGCTCCCTTGAGGCTGCTCTTACAGTTGCTAGTTACTCTCCAAAATGCTTATTCTGGTTCAGCTGAGAGCCCGTCACTGGCTTCCCTCTGTGCTTAGCACACAGGCCTCTGCCCAAGTCTCCAGCTGCCTGCCATAAGTCCTGAAAGACTCTGGTTGTTAAGCTCCCTCTTCATGGCAGTGAAGATGGTTTGGATCCTGACCTGAGGGATCTCTGGGTTGGTCGGCTCAGTCCCATTCTTTCTAGCTCTTCAGGTCCCTAGCCTATTACCCTGTCTCTTTTCTGTTCCCTGCTCATTGCCAGTTCTCTATCAACCAAACCAGCTGTTTTCATTGCAGCTGTGCATAGGCCCCGAAACACTGTGAGGGAAACATCAAAGAACATCATGATTAGTTCCTTCATGAACTCATGGTTTTGAGCCCCTACCAGGCTTTCATTGTTCCGGAACAGTCTTTTGGCATTTTCGTCTTTATTTTTATTTTTACTTTTTTTGATTTTGAGTTGGAGTCTCACTCTGTCGCCAGGCTGGAGTGCAGTGGCACACTCACAGCCACCCCAGCATTGACCTGCTGGGCTCAGGTGATCCTTCTGCCTCAGCCTTCCAAATAGCCGGAACTACAGGCGCGTGCTACCATGCCTGGCTAATTTTTTGATTTATTGTAGAGATGAGGTCTTGCCAAGTTGTCTAGGCTGTTCCTCAATCCATGGGCTCAGGCAGTCTTCTCACCTTGGCCTCCCAAAGTACTGGGATTACAGGCTTGAGCCACCGCGTCCAGCCTGTTTTTACTTTTAAAGGTGAATCTTGCTCTGTTGCCCAGGCTGGAGTACCTATTGCCATCATAGCTCACTGCGGCCTTAAACCAACCCCTGGGTTCAAGCAATCCTTCTGCCTCAGCCTCCTGAGTAGCTGGGACATTTCTATCCTAAATTTCAATAATGGATACACCACTTCTCTCATTAAGTCCTCCCCCCCTTTCAGTGTCTGCACCATCAGAATCACAACCTATAGCAGTGAGTCTTTCTCAACTCTGACACTCATATGTTTACCCATTCTACTCTTAAAGGTACCCTGTAGGCTGGGTTAAGTGGCTCATCTACTCTTAAAGGTACCCTGTAGGCTGGGTTAAGTGGCTCAGTTTGTAATCTCCTCACTTTGGGAGGCTGAAGTGAGTGGATTGCCTGAGCCCGAGGGTTCGAGACCAGCCTGGGCAACTTGGTGAGACCTCATCTTTACAGTAAAATAAAATAAAAAATTAGCTGGGCATGGTAGCGCACACCTGTAGTTCCGGCTACTTGAAAGGCTAAGATGGAAGGATTGCCAGGGCCCAGAAGGGCAATGCTGGGGTGGCCGTGAGCGTGCCACTGCACTCTAGCCTGGGCAAGTGAGTGAGACTCCAACTCAAAAAAGAAAAAAGGTACTCTGTTGCCAGTGATCTTTATGCCATTCCTTTTCTAGTGTTTGTTTTTTCACTTTTAGATCTTCAGTTTCTCATTCTGCTGACTCCCTGAACTTCCAAACAGACTTAACTTAGCCCATCCTTTAAAAAGTTTAAAGTGTAGACTTTGAAGCCAAACTCCCTGGGTTTGAATCCTTCTACTTACAAACGAGTTAAGTTAGCATTTCTGTGCTTCAGTATCCTTATTTGTAAAATGGGGATATTAGTAATATCTGCCTCTTAGGATTTCTGTAAGGATTAGATGAGTTAATGTCGTAAATTGCTTAGAAGAATACCTGGTATCAATATGGCTGGGCACATGGCCCAAGCCTGTAATTTCAGCACTTTGGGAGGCCGAGGTGAGAGGATTGCCTGAGCCTATGGATTTGAGACCAGCCTGGGCAACATGGTGAGACCTTGTCTCTACAATAAATAAAAAAATTAGCTGGGTGTGGTAGCACACCACTGTAGTTCTGGCTCCTTGGAAGGCTAAGATAGAAGGATTGCCTGAGCCCAGCAGGTTGATGCTGGGGTGGCCATGAGTGTGTCACTACACTCCAGCCTGGGTGACGCAGTGAGACTCCAACTCAAAAAAAAAAAAAAAGAATACCTGGTATCAGTGTTATTTATTAATACTACATATTACATATACTATTGTTATTGCTATTTCTATGACTTATTTTTCTTATTTCTTGGTGCATGTTCTTTAACTACCAGATTTGTGGAAAAGGAGTCTGGCAAAATTGTGCCTTTCTGACTTAATGAAGATCTTTGCTCTGTTGTCAGTTACTTTCCAAGGTGTATAGTAACTGCTGTTTATGAACCACTTACCACAAGCCAAGCATAGGCAAGACTTGACATGAATATTTCATTGAACTCTATCTCATACATACTCTTACTACCCTCCTTTTACAGGCAGAAGACTAAGCCTTAGAGGGTCTAAGCAACTGGTCTATGGTCACAGTTAGTATATGTTGGAGCCAGGATTCAAACCCAGGCTAATCTGACCCCGAGGCTTGTATTATTCACTACTGCAGTATAAAGTCACCACTGTGGTTTGAGCCTTTTAAATTGGGGATTTTCAACTCCTCAGGTACTATATATTGGAGAGATAAAAGAATACATTTCTCTGTCACTCCAGTATTTCATTCAACTTCCCCTTTCCATATCATTAAGTATTTTTTCTTTTTTAAATCGGAGAATCACTCCGTTGCCTAGGCTGGAGTGCAGTGGCACGCTCATGGCCACCACAGCCTCCACCTGCTGGGCTTAGGTGATCCTTCTGCCTCAGCCTTCCAAATAGCTGGAATTATAGGCACGTGCCACTATGCCTGGCTAATTTTTTGATTTGTTGTAGAGATGAGGTCTCGTCAAGTTGCCCAGGTTGGTCTCGAACCTGTGGGCTCAGGCAAACCTCTCACCTCAGTCTCCCAAAGTGCTGGGATTATAGGCGTGAGTCACTGTGCCCAGCCCTATTAAGTATTCTTTATTCCATCTTCCAATCAACTTTATAACTTTCTGAGATAATTTAAAGGCTCTGGCCCATGTTTGCCTTTGACATGATTTTTTTCTTCCTCTGATACGTGTGTGTATGTGTGTGTGTGTGTGTGCGCGCGCGCGCGTGTGTGTGTGTGTCAGGGTTTTACTCTCTTGCCCAGGCTCCAGCAAGTGCAGAGTGCCACAGTCACAGGTCACCCACAACCTCGAGTTCCTAGGCTCAGGAGATCCTTCTGCCCCAGCCTTCTGAGTAGATGCAACTACAGACACGTGCCCCTATGGTCAGCTAACCTTTTGATTTTTAGTAGAGACGAGGTCTCGCTGTGTTGCCCAGGCTGGTCTTGAACTCCTGTGCTCAAGTAATCCTCCCGCTTCGGCCTCTCAAACTGCTGGGATTACAGGTGTGTGCCACCATGCTCAGCCTTGATCCCTCATTTTTCTTTACATAGTCCCTGTTAAACAAACCTTGCTAATCACCAAACTCTGAGTTTAATATATTTATGCCATGCTGTCATTCCTTCCTTCTAGTCCTCTTTCTGTACAGACTTGGCGGCTGTTGCTATTTTATGATGGGAATTTTGTAACCTACACAAAAGTTGAGAGATAGGTACAAGCCCTGTGTCCCCATCACTCCTGATGAACGTTTTGCCAATCTAGTTTTATCTTTTATCCACATTTCTTTTTTTTTTTTTTTTCTGGAGTATTTTAAGGCCATTCCTAGACACTGGGTCCTTTTGTCTGTAAATACTCGTTACGTGTGCCTTTGTGAAGACAGGGAGCCTGTCCTACCCATGTCACCATCCACTCAGAAAGTGTGTGCCGAGTGCCTGCCGAGGGCTCGGCACTGAGCAGATTGTCAGTATATAGCAGACATGCGGCTGCCCTTGACGGCTTACAGCTCGCAAGTGAGGCAACAGGGTGGCACGCAGTCATAATCACAGACTCATTTGTTGGTCATCCTGCCTTGGGATTATCTCAGACAGGGTGGTAAGCAGGGGATAATACATGGAGGCTTACTAAATATCTGTGTTTTTAATCAAAGTTATGAGCTTAATTGAGTCAGACTGTTCCAAAACACTTGTTACTAAGAAAAAACAAAAGGCAAAACAAATAAACAAAAACAGACCCCTGGTTTCCCCCATCATTTCATGCTTCCCAGAGACAAGCCACTTTCACTCTATATTTCCAAGTGGCATGCTTCTTGAGTTTGTAGTTGGAAGATGGGATTTGCCTGTTTCATCCGCCTCCCCCTCCCCACCACTCACATACACAAGCATACTCTCTTTTTTTTTTTTTTTGAATTGGAGTCTCACTCTGTCGCCCAG